CTATATAACATAATATGTAATATAATATACTATAAGATAATATAATATAATATAACATATCAAGTAATATATAATATAATGTACAATATATAATATAATATATAACAGCAATATATAATACATTATATAATAGCAAAATAATATTCGTGTCAATTCATTTCTTTTATTACATCATTTTACGAATTTTTCAATAACAATACGATTGAGTTTGTTTCATGATATTTGTCATTATTTTATGGAACAAAAATCATTTCAAGAAACGTAGGTGTATTAAATTAATGGTTTTTTGACATAAATAAGTTATTACCTTTTTTATAACGAATAACAAAAAGCACCGATTAATTCATTATATATAACGCAAGTGATCTTTATTTGGCTTCCTATAACTCCCTAAAAGAATTTCCTTCTCCTAATTTCCATATCTTCCAAAATTGAAATTGAAACTGAAACGATAGATTAAAATTGAACACCCTATATAGTAAAAGCAAAATTAGACAGTAAAATTAGAAGACATTTTCACTCCTTTATCGGTGAGAAATTGTTGGAAAGATGTTAAAGCGAAAAAATACCATTGACTGCTAATATGTTAATACAGATACGTTACCAGTTGCAAAAATATGAAAATATAATTAAATTCCGAAGCACCGTTGAAAATAACTCGTCAAATGTAGTGCTAGCGACAAGATTGCGAGATAAAATAACGAACATACATTTGACTACGAATAGTTAATACTAGAATGATTAAAAGGATTAAAATAACGTTAAAATAATTTTAATAAAATATTATTTTGAAATATTAATTAGTATTAAAAATATTAAAATATTAATATTATTATAAAATAATGCCAATAATATTATTAATAATATCAAGATAGTATTAATAATATCATCAATAGTATTAAAATAATAACAAATAATATTAAAATAATTTATAATATAATCAAAATAGTTCCTTAATAAATTTTGACAAAATCTATTTTTTTCGATACTTTGCAGCACTTTAACTTTGTAAAAATTCGAATACTTCATGAGCAATAATTAATAACTATTATTCAATTTCAAATCTTAAAAAGATATCCAAGATGAAAAAATTAAATATGTACACGTGAAATATTTACAATTTTTAAATAAAATATCATTAATTCATAAAAACTGTTGAAAATATTTTCGAAAAATTTAGCAAAAATTAATGTCATTCTAAATCCTAAATTATTTTATAATTAATAATAAGTGTAAAACAAAATAACAATATAAATATTATAACTATAAGTTCATTCGAATTTTAGATTTAATAGTTATCTAATAATAGCTACAAAATGTAACTATTAAAATAATAATAACTTCACTCCCATTTTTGAAATACTAATAAGCATTCGAAGAGTTTCGGTCAGAAGTGCATTTTTGTCATTTATATCTAACATTAAAATTTTATAAACCGTCGAGAGACAACTTTTAATCACCAATCAACAAAATTCAGAAAATTCATAGTCGATATTAAGTTTATAATAATTTATATAAAAATAGATGAGATACTGAAACGAAACAGTTCTATTTGTTAATTTATATATTTATTTCTATGCTATTGTCAAAAGTATCATCAATTTTATAGTAATACTACAATTGCTAATATACTATAAATAGTAAATATAAATACTATATATAAATACTATAAATGCCTCACACGTTATTATTTGATTACCATTTTATATACACGTACACCAATTATTTTTATTAATTATTAATGTATACGTGAATTATTGTTAATAAATTTTGATGGAAAATTTGGGGGAAAATTTTACTAATCGTAAGTCCCCCACCGATTATGAGAATCCTGTTAAATATCAAAAAGCCATAATTTAGCCAGCCATAATCAAATCACATAATTTAGCCAGCCATAATCAAATCACATAATTAAATCACATTTGAGCAATTGCTATTTCTTGCTGCAAAAACTTCTTCAAGTGCACAGGGTCAAATTTGATACCAAGACGTTCAATACTTAATATTTGCTAATAAATTATAGCATACTTCAAAACTACCAGAAATGATCATAAATACCGAAATTTTTATAAAAAGATTTTATAAAATCTTTATGAAATCATTTTGACAATTTATAAACGAATAAATTCAACCTAACCTAACCTAACCACATATAAGTTATACATCGTACTCCACGACCTATATCGAAATACATATTTTATATAAATATTTGTCTCGTTATTATTTTTTAATACTCTTCGATGGGGTTAAGATAAATATAATATTAATATATAATATATATTTTTTTTTTACATATAAATAAATATAATATTAATAAATTTTATATTTAAATATATACTTTCAAGCTATATAGAAACCGTGTTTTCAATAAAACTAGCTTTTTGGATGTATATATCTTTTAAGAAATCGCAACCGAAAAAATCATATAAAATTATCTTTTTTTATTGCCAATTCTGAAGATGTAAGTCTTTGGAATAATTTTTCACTGAATAATATTTTATTGTAATTGAATAAACTAATTTCAATTTCTGTAATAATTAAATAATTAATTATGTATTTTCATCCAACTTAATCCATTTTATTAAGGACTAAAAAAATAAATTCAATAATACTTTTTCTAACACAAAAAGTTGCTAAAAATATAAAGATCTAGTAAATAACACTAGATTAGGAAAAAATAATCGCCATTTAGTAATTTTTGTACAATGTTAATGCCATGTAAAATTCTTACGAAATCATTTTGACAATTTACAAGCGAATAAATTAATTCAGATAATTTTGCTCAACTGTAACTACAGTGTACATTCTCATTAACTTTACTTCGTGTACGCACGAAATAATAATTTGGGAAGGGAGGAAGAAATGATAAATGGCTGACGACAGTATCAGTTTTTCTTGTTGAATGACGTGTTTACGTCATTCGCTAAATCGATTTGAATTATATTTTTTCGCTTGTTTCAGATTTAGATATTCCCTACTTTTAAATTTCAAATAAAATACTTTAATCTTGTAAATCACTAGTGATCGAATTTTTCCATCGCAGAAAAATTAATCGAATTTTTTTCATTTTTTTAAATTATCGAGTTTTCCTCTTTTTCTTTGTTCCTTCGTTACAATTAATTATTGATATTTTACCATGAAATTTTTAATAATAAACTGGATTTCTGCTAACTTCATTTTCCATTTTTATAGTCATTTACTTACTTTACAAATTTCTCTTATTATTTTTAAATTGCATAAAATAATGATTTTTTAAAAGTTGCATAAAAATATAATAAACGAAATAAAATTATTTACATTTGGAAACTAAAATGTTCTTCGTAAGAATTTTTAATTGTATGAATTTTTGTAGTAGTAATTGTTAGTAATTTTTGTTCCTTACATAATTGTTATATGTAAACAAATTAAGGAACAAAAATAAATTCTTGCAAAATATATTATCTCAAAGTCACTAATTTTCGATATTTATTATATGCGTATAACTATAATAGATAAATTAAGAATATTTAATTGAAATTATGTAATCGCAACAAACATTTAGATTAATAATTTGATTAGTATTGTATCAATTGCGTTTCGTTTCAACTATGTATTGAATTTTTATTCCCAATCGTTGATTATTAATTTTTCATCGATGCGTTATCGACATTGATCGTACATTATAATTTATCAGATCCAACATTGTATTATAATTTTCGAAAGACTGGTCATATTACCGAGTACTCTACATTCGCTTTTCACATCGACAGCAAAGCACAATGGATCTCATAATACCAAAAAGAAAAGGAAATCACATTAACACTCCACTTCTATTTAAAATTTTTATATAATTATTGCATATTTATTTGAATTCCATTTTTTAAATTTCAGTTCCTTTTTTAACGCAAGAAAAGTCATGAATAATTTTATATATCGACCGGCATCCTATTTATCGATATCGTTTCATCTATCGTAATCTGAAGCTCGGTGTTAAATTATTTAAAATATACAATATAAATTTTGCAGAAATTTTACTCGAAATAAATTAAATTTCGAAAAGAAAGAAAATTTTATCAACATTCTGTCTAAAAAAATATCATTATACACGAAATTCACTTGATCATATAAAAACATAAATAATATGTATGTGATATGTAAGTGACACACATCTGTTATATATTTCCCGAAGGTACATATAAATTTTGTTACCATTTATCATCATTCTATCAAGAATATTTAGCTTCGAGTTATTTAAAATTTTGGCGAAATTATGAATAGTAAATTTATTTTTGCTGCACAATGCACTGAGGATCACGATTTATGCATGTAATTATATACTAATTGTAAATAATTTAGAAAATATACGTACCTCTAATGCATATCTCGTGGAAAATCATTTAGTAAAGAATAATAGAACGATAACAACACAAAGCAACACTAGCGTCCTTTCAACCATCTTAATTCGCAGTTTTCTAAACCTTCGCGAATAGAACCACACGCGATCACACCGCGACCACGACTGTAACACCATACCCGATAATAACAGCGCTCAAGTTCCCTTTCAATAAACGCAAGATATCGCATCCAAGGTTACACTTGACACTGTCCCCCTCCAGCCCTCTTTCGTTTCACGAAAATATTCAATGAAATGAAATTTTCACGAGAGAAATTTACATACTAGATTTTATCTTTCCTTGAAACATTTAAATACTTTTGATGCTATGTATTTATATATATTTTACAAATTTTTAAAATTGTTGTTCTAACTTGATTAAATAATACTTTAAATATATATAATACATGTCATATATAATAAATAGTTCTAATAAAAAAAGAGAACCGAATTTTTTTGAAAGAGTAAAAATATTGATATATTACATCATGTAATAAAGAATATTTTTTATTTGTTTCTCTTTACGTACAATTTATAACGGAATGATTTATATTTGTTTTATACGAAATATTGCATTATATGCGCTATGAGGAACGCATGTAAAAATATTTTATAACATTACATGGCATATCACAACTGTTCTCATATCATGAAGAACAGAATCTGTAAACAGTAGATCTTGGCACAAAATTCTTAGTTAAACACTCGTATACATCATACATATGTTTTCATTGTTGAATTTTCTTGTTTGTGGTGAATTTTCTTCTTTTCTAGCAGCCATCCATTTCTCTATTTCTTCAACTCTATAATTAAATTATGCATTATTAATGCTTTTACAAAAAATTTATTCACATGTAATATTTTATAAATTGTCATATACGCTTTTTTCTTTAACTAATGTTAAGAATTAATTAACAATTATAAAATACTTACTAAATATTTAATTTTCAAAATTACATATAATTTTACAAATATTAATGTATAAATCATAATCGTAATATAACTATCAAAAAATTATTTATTATTTTCATATTTTGAAAGAACAATGACTCACAAAAGTATCCAAACTCTTACATTTGAAAATTTTACCAAGTAAAATATATGCATTAAACTAATGTATTTAAAATAATATAATAAGTATAGCATGAGGAAGATCTTAAGATTATATCAATAAAATTAAAAAACAATTCAACAATATATAGAACTATAGCCAAAATTTTATATAAACATTATAAATACTACTTATTTCTAGACATTTGGGTATGACCTACTAATAATCTGTATAATTGCTATACTCTAGATACTATATATGTTATTAAGTTATTTTATAATTTTACGCGTATAAAACATAAATAATATAAATAATATATATAATATTGACATATTTTCTGTAACTTATTTGTTATTATTTTGAATTGCAATTTAAGATACATATATCTTTAGTTAAAATTTGCAAATAAAAGCATTGGAACATATTTATAAATTATTATACGTCGAAACTTACGTGCGTGGCACATCTGTTAAATTTCTTACACCAGTTTCTGTTATAAGAACATCATCTTCGATTCTAACACCACCCCAACCACGGAATTTCTTCAATTTTTCAGCAATAATGAACTTCGATTGTTTTGGATCTTTTAATGCCGCATCTAACAACTATTACATATTAATTAAATTTTTTATCAATTTCATTTATATACAATATGAATACAATTAATTTGAATAGTATATAATTTATTAAAGTAATATTTAAAAAATATAAAATACATATTACTATTATAAGAACATTGCACTGTTGTTAAAATTTTATAAATTTAAACAGTTTTAATATATAGTACGTTATTTGCCTCTATTATAATCTAATACAGTTTTTCTACTTACACAGTCAATAAAATAGCAACCTGGTTCAATTGTTAAAACCATACCAGGTTGTAAAACACGACTGGTTCTCAATTTTCTTAGCCCTGGAGCCGATGAACGTTCAGGATGTCCTGGAAGATATCCACCAACATCATGGACATCCAATCCCATAAGGTGTCCAAGACCATGAGGCTGGAAAACTTCATGTAATCCTACTTTTATCATTTCATCAACTTCACCTACTAGCAGACTACCAGTTTTTAATGATGTTAACATGGTCTTGTTTGCTAGAAGATGCATATCTGTCCATGCAACATTTGGTTTCGCAGCATTCATTACTGCATTACGAGCAGCCAATACTGCATTATATATCATTTTTTGATCTTCTGTAAATTTTCCATTGACTGGAAAACTGCATGTAATATCTGCTGCATATCCACAGTAATTTCCACCCATGTCAAAAAGGCTTATGTAATACAAAAAAATATTAGTTTGCAATCAATATCAAAAGCAGAGCAAAATGTACCATTTGTGAAAAAAATTAAATTAATTTGAATCAAAACTGAACTCAAAATTACAAAAACAAAAATTACAAGAGTTATATAAAAACTTACCACATATCACCATCATTTATAATTTTATTGTTGGGAGCACCAGCATGTCCATAATGCAATATAGATGCATTATGTCCAGATCCACAAATACAAGTATAGGATACATGTCTACAGCCTCCCACAGAATACACATAATGCATAAAAGCTGCTTCCATTTGAAATTCTGCAACTCCTGGTTTTATCATACGCATAATAGACTTATGAGCATCAGAACTTATTTTAATCACATATTCCAATACCTCAATTTCTTGTGGAGATTTTATAACTCGACTATAAAGGAAAAATTTAAATATAATTTTATATAACTTATATTTTAGTTTATAATCATTATATAATTATCAAACAATAAATCATGTAATAGCTTTTAATCATTTTCAGTCATTATTTTATAAAAAATTATTCAGCTTTCATCTGCAAAAATTTTTATTCTGTACATTGTACAATGTATTTTATTGGATTACTTTTACAATTTCTATCAAAAATAGAGAAATTTATATTTTATATTCTTGTTGCTCCTATTATAAAGCATCCTCTGTGGAATGTAATCTTTCCAACAAATAAGACGATAATTTAGTAGATTCATTCCAGAATTCTTGTATTGCTATGTAATCTAATGTCATAATTTTAAAACCTAATTTTTTAATATGTCTTTTTCTCATTATTTGAGGCCCTATTAAGTGATGTGTATTTCTACAGTAATATTCTGGTAAATAAATAAAAACTGCAATGTTCACATTTTTCTCTTGTTCTAAATTCAAATGAAATAATGATGTTGACATCATATGGGGGTGTATCAGAATGTCAAGAACATAAAAATTTATAGGTGGTAATCGATTTAAAATCACAGTTTTACTTAATTTTTGTTCTCCTCCTACTAAAGATGCCAATGGTTGATATATTATATTTACTGTTTTTCTAATTCGAGCATCTAAAAATAAAGGTTTCTCTATTCTTCTTATAGGAAAATATAAAGATTGGTATTCTTTAGACTCTAAAAACATGGTAGCATCCAATAATTTCAATTTATTTTTTATACGATTAAAGAAACCAGAATGATTTCTTAAATGAATTTTATGTAGTAATTGTGAAATAAATATTTCATCAAAAAATTGTATAGGATATTTTTCTAAATAAGTACAGGAAAGAAGAATATCTAAAGCATCATCTAATTTTAAATCATGAAATTTTGCTGATAACACATTATCAAAAGTTTTCCAAAATTCTATCTTATTTGGTGGTTGCATATATAAAAATCCAAATGGTGTAACAATAGATGGCAATAAAGAAGTTGATATATTCATAGCATGTTTCATAAAGTATTTACCACACTCTGACAGAATGCATTCATTTCTGACCTGTAAATTCTTACAATAATCCATAATTGTTGCTATTAATTTTGAATTATTAATTTGTGATGCTTTAGATATCAAATAATTTTGTAACATGCTTTCAATTCTGTTATCAATATAATCTTTTACATGTAAACTGTGTATAAAATTTATTAAATCTTTTTCACTAGATGTATTCATGTTCACACTTGTCCACTTACTAGCACTTGTTAAACATCTCATCGCAGAAACATCATCATGAAAACAATCTAATATCTCTGCAATTTGTGTACCTGTTACTTCTAACCAACATTCAGAGAACTTTCTTTCAAGAATAAGTTTTACCATATTTTTACTCTGATTAAAATGCTTTAATGTTTTGAATAATGCTACTAATGTGTATGCATTAATTTTATGTTCTTGAAGCAAAATACCCACCCATAAATTATCTATTGATTTACGATATTTAGAATCCTTATAAGATGATAAAATCTTTATTAAATTTATTAATTGTGCAGGTGAAAATTCTCCATCTGTTGATCGACTTAATGCTTCATCACACATCAAGTCTCTATATATATTTCTAGCTGGACTAACTTTATCTTTTTTTAGAGCTATCAGTCCTTGAACTATCATCTCAGCATCATTACTATTAATAATTAATTTAATCAGTTGTTTCATTATCATGTCTCTAGTACCATTATCAACCTCAAACTGCCTATTTTTTTGCATTTTATTAGACTTTTGTTTAAACCAATTATTTTCTAAATCTATAACTTTCTTTAATCCTTCTAAAGCTACTCTACAATTTATTTCCTGTGATATCTTGTTCTCTAACATGGAATATACACCACTAGTTGCATTAATCAGTTGTAATCCCTGCAATGTCTCTTCTAAATCTATATTTTTGAAACAGTCAAGATCTGAACAAAATAATATTGCAGTTCCTTCATCTGTTTCAATATCTATTCTTTGATTTAATGGAATATTCTTCACATTAGTGTTATTCTTGGAATTAGTGTTCTTTTCAATATTATATGTAAGAGAATCATTCTTCTTAGATACATCAGGATCCTTGTAACGATTATTAAAAGCAGAAATACTTTTTTTATCTTTACTGTTACATATTGTTTCAATATCTTTGATTTTTCTAACAATTAATGGCACTTCTTGTATTTCTAATCCTTCTTCTATAAAAATGCTTGTTTGTGTTATATTTTGTTGTCCAATGCATTTCCCAGAATTTGATTCATACCATCGTTTAGTAAGTTTAGAAATTATAGCAGTGGGATGCATACGCATTAAAAACTTTGCCCATGCATGACCAGTTAGTATCATCTGTATAGAGCATAGAAGCATCTAATAAGATTAGGTTTAAAAATAAATCCTTTGTGCTTTATTTCATGTACCTTCTTTAATTATGATGTGAAAAAATGAAGCAGCAAGTGATGTCTTTCATAAAGAACAGTAAAACTGTTTGGTTTGTATTAAAACGAATACAATGATTAAAACTTATATTTTGAACTTGTCTTGAATGATACTTTTAATTTAACGATTTTAGAATTAAAAAGCCATTATTAAAATGCTTCATATAAAAGACTTGTGACAAACGTACAGAAAGTAATTAGAACGATATATATCGATATAATAAATCGACAATTATACAATTTCGATACCGACACTATTTTTAAAAATTTTACATATTTTACGAAATTATATCAATTCCATTAACAAAGTAAATTCAAAACATTTATTATATAAAAATATTTTCGATCTCTTTCTTAATTTATATTCTTTATAAAATTAATAATTTATTTCCATAGTTTATGTTATTTGTGCTATTTTACAATACGATATAAATATCTACTTTCAAATCTGTTACTTAATTCATTTTATTGAATTAATATATTTTTATAATAATATTTAATAAAATGAAAGAACTTGAAGTGTACAAATAGTTTAAACCAAACGGAGTTTGTACTGTATAGTACATATATTTGCACATATATTTATCAAATACATTGATTAGGTTAAATACTGAGTTCAAAAATTTTTAATATTATTAACCATTAGAATTTGATACGTTATTATTACTTTTTTTAACATTCATTATCAAATTATCTTTTACACGCACAATGTTTTGTTTATTTTGTTGTTTGTTACATTTTTGTCATTTTGATACAGAAAAAAATTGGCTGTTTAAATACTACGACAGTATAATATTGTTAAAAATGATTTGGTTTAGATACATGTAGTAATTCAGATATATTTATGTTATTTTGACTTTCAAATCTCTTTTAATGCAAATAAACTATGATAACCCGAGAACAATGGAAGTTCAAAATTTTGTACTTTTGTGCGAAATTTTTATTTTAAAAGATATTTAAAATAACTTTTAGCAACTTTTAACTACTTTTAAAAAGATTTTTACTGAAAATATATGTTTTTAGTGCAATAAGTAGGTTTTTTCATATTTATAATCAAGAAATATGTATACATGCAATGTATACATTTAAAATCTTTTCTTATATATTTTCTAGCAGAATCAGAATCTCAATGTACACCTGACTTTTGTGTGTGTGTTTGTAAGAAACAAGAAATGGTTTGATATCTAGTAATCAGGTAACAAATTACAACCCATTTACAATTGATTCATCCAATAATTATTATGTTCTCAGAAAGAACACGTTTTATTTTCCTTTAATTATCATATTTACCTCCTTCTAAAAATCTATGTATTACACAGTTTTTAACTAGTACAATGTAATAATCAAGACACATTGCTACTGCAAGAAAGTAGAAAAACAACAAGATCTTGAAAAAAATGAGTTTGAAGCTTCAAATCATTTATAATACTATTTGTATTACAGAATTGGATAATTTTTTACTAAAACATTTCTTTCTGCTATCAAATATAAACAAATATAGAAATATAAAGAAATATATACAAGATAAACAAAATAGTCAATGAATAATTAGCTTTAATTTTGTGACACTTACCATTCACACATTTCTGGGTATAAAATCGTATTGTTTACTTTAAATCTGCAAAATAACGAAGTATAAGCAAAAAGCCCTGCATACTATAAAAAGAAAAATATTGTAAACTAGTACTCACTCGTTAATACCATCAAAAATTGCTTCTTTTGTCTGTAAACCACTATCACTATTTTGACCACTCTAAAAATATAAATAAAGTATAAATACTTCTACGAAATTAGGTTTATTGAAGGGACTACATATATGTAAATAATATTTAAAAAAAACGATATATTTAAATCGTTTTCATTCGAAAACATAATCACTTGAAATATCTATATGAAGTTTAACATGAAAATTCTTTAAAATAATTAGTTTATGAAGTCTTAAAACTTCTCTGATAAAAGCTTCAATGAAAATTGTAAATATTTTTTTTTTAACTAATATTTTCAAAAACGAAATGAACAATATTACAATGATAATTGCATTGATTTAGCTGAAAATTTACATTTAAATTCTGTATAGGATTATGTATTTTTATGTAAAATTTTCTTCTATACTTTTTAGCTATTTTAGAGAAAAATTACTTAATTACAAAAAGTATTTTATAATTTTATTATTTAATATTAATATAATTATTTTATAATAATTATATTAAATAATTATAATAATTATTAATTAATGATAAATTACAATATGATGATTGAAATTTCAAATAATTGATATTTCATAAGAAATTAATATTTTCAGAACTACTTTTAATAATGATTAATCTTGTTTATCTGTTTTAATTATTGATCTTTGTTTCCATTAAACAACATATAAGTTACACATCGGACACCAAGTCCTATACCGGAATACATGTTTTATATGAATATTTATCTCATCATAATTTTTTAATACTCTTTAATGGGATTAAGATAAATGATATATTTCAATGTATATTTTCAAGCGATAGAAAGCGTGTTTTTAATAAAACTAGCTTTTGGGTGTATATATCTTTTAGGAAACCGCAACCGAAAAAATCGTATAAAATTATCTCTTTTTATTACCAATTCTAAAGATGTAAGTCTTTTGAATAATCTCACTGAATAATATTTTATTGTAATTGAATAAACTAATTTCTATTTCTGTAATAATTAAATAATTAATTATGTATTTTCATCTGACTTGATCCATTTTATTAAGATCTAAAACAATAAATTTAATAATATTTTTTCTAACACAAAATTTGCTGAACATATAAAGATCTAGTAAATAGCACTATATTAGGAAAAAATAATTGCCATTTAGTAATTTTAGTACAACTTTTTACTCGTCATGTAACTTTCTTTCTAAAACATCTACAAAAAGTTATATAATCGAATTATTTAGGAAAATAATTAGTGAAAATTTGATCAAAATAGTTTAAACTTAAATCTTCAATGATTTGATAGACCATAGATCACAAAAGTTAGAATTTTTCCATAAGGATAAGACTACATTGTGGATTTCCATAAAGATATATGAAAAAGAAAAGTATTTATTTGAAATTAAAATTACCAAAGTAAGCAAAAGAGCTGCTTGTTTTGATTTAAAAATTTTAGCAATCTCATCGGTATAGTAAACTTCATCTACAGCATATCTCTGTCTAAACTCCTCTAAAGTATATAATTTTCCTTCCCAAACTGCATATTCTGCTGGTAATCGTGGCACAAACAAAATAGATGCTTCAGTCTTTAAATCAAGAGCACCATAACATCCTGGCTCTTCAACACCAAAACACCATTGAAAAAATGATTCCTGGCAAAAAAATTACACCATAAAACATTTGTAATGAATTAATATAGTATACAACTAACAAATGTATTTACCTGCCTGAATGGCCACGATATATCTGTGTCATTAAACGGAATTTCAACTCCTCCTTGAAGAATAATAAAAGTGCCTGTGGCTGGTACTTTTGCATGCGCTTTAACACGTGCGACTAATCTTTTTCGGTTATTTCTGAACAGGGACATAGGTACTTTCAAAGTACTATTTCCCCTTTGAAAGTAAGATTCTACTTTATTCCTAAAATAATATTTTTATATTTATCAAATAGTAATAAAAAATTATTTAAAACTAAATTAGTAAGAAGTTTTGTAATTTAATACTTCTTTGAAAATTAAATAACACTTATCACAAAACGTGAGAAATATGGAATATTTAAAAATAAATATCATTTATGATATTATATATCATGTTATATAATATATATATAATTATTTGTTAATTATATTATTAATACCACAATTAATAAAGCTTTCAAAATTGTCTTTTGAATTGAATACTTTAAAAATACTATATTCACATATTATAATCAGATTAATTTATTGAAAACATAAAAGAAATAAATAACAAATTGTTATTTAATAGCCTTTTCAGTATTTAAACATTTTTTATTTTCAATACATTATTTTATTTTATTCTATTTATTGTATTTTGTTCCGATCTTTATGTTATACAATTCTCTCCATCTCAAAATATCTTAATTATAAACAAGAAAAGATAACGAAGTTGAACATGTTTGTACGTTCAATTTCTGGTTAAGATTGTAACAATGATACAGAAATAAATACGTAAAGTATGTAAAAGATTTTTATAGTAATAAATAATATTAACAATAAGACTATATATTTGCAAAGTACTACATTTAAACAAGATATGTCTTGTCTTCATTAACAAAGATATAATCTTAGGAAAGAGAGATAATTAAAAAATACAATGAAAATCATTCACTATTAAATTTATTCAATATATATACAATTTTTTTATAATTTTAATAATTACAATAAATTTTGAAATTCTTTGATGAAAATAAAAATTTAAATACTTCTTTTACTCAATTATAATTGTCCTAAAATATACTTTTAATTTTTATTGTACTTATAACGCATTTTATTACAGAAAAAAAAAATATTGGTTACAAATTCCAAAGCATTAGAATTTTAATTAATACTTTGAAGTACTTTGTACTAAATATTTTAGCTATAATATCTTGTAGGACTTGTTATCTGTTTTAAAATAACATTAATATCGCTTATCAGCATTTAGTCATCCATACTCAGTTATCTATAATATGTAATATAAAGTTTATACATTAAAATTAATTAAATGATAATCAAATTAGAACTAAAAAGATATATAAAAGTAAATATATTTATTTATATAATTACGGATTACCTCTTTTTCATTTACAAAAATACATTCGTTATTCACTATATTCTTTCCAATATAATGTTATAAAAAATACAAAATTTAAAAAATTAATAAACTCATTTAATGCAATAATTTATAATTCAATGATATCAATTATAAGTTAAGACTGATATTAATATTATTTTATCTGTTTAACATGTAATAAAACAATTTCCGCATATGACATTCATACATATGTACGTGCGCAGAACGAATTTACTTTCTGCATAACCTCAAAATTTGACGAGATATAAGATTAAAAGTTTATAATGTAACATTAGAGATATTTTATTTATTATAATAATAATAAATCGTTACAATACAATTAATAAAGCACTTGAACAATAACATGATATAAAGATATTTATGCAATACAGTAAGGAACGGAGTCGAGAAAGATATAACAATACAAAGAATGAGGAATAAACAACGAAGTATATGGAATACAACAAATAAATAATTTGTTTATAACATTATGATAATTATATATTTATATTTAACAACAATCAGTTCCTATTTAATAATAGCGATATAATAACAGTCGATAAATTATCTATACATACGAATGTGTAGTTTCCGCCATGTTACTTTCTGTCATATGTCGATCTGGCAATAGAGTAGTACAATTTTCTTACGACACTAGAGGAATAATGTTTTGGTAACGTAATCAATGACTTGTACAATGTTCAAACTACGAAAATTTCGTTGATACTTATAAATCACTTTTTACAAGAATGCACAATTCATGACCTAATTTATTATCTTTTATCTGCGTCTAGAGGAATCACGTGATGAATTTTAACCAGAGCTGCCAGGCGTACGCTACATTCCCCTACTTTTAACACGAAAGCGAGAGAAAACGACTAGAAGTGAGGAATGACATCGTCCATATCCCGCATCACACATCTGTTAACACGGCGGATATGTCATGAAGGTGGGGATATGTTCTTTAATAGGTGATATGAGCGTGTAAACCATACTGACAGAACGTCAGACGTATTGCGTTGCATTTATCGGATCTCCATCCCCACGCCCACACTACATCGTTCCCCACTCCTAGTCCTTTTCTCCTATTTTCGCGCTGAATGTAGGGGAATGTAGCGCACGCCTGGCAGCTCTGATTTCAATCAACCAATGTTTTCAACTTGCTGCGTAACGATATGGAGTGATTGGTCATTTATTATCACTACATATGTATTTGTATGTCATACATCGAACTTGTTATATAAAATATAAATTTAAATCAAGCAAAAAAAAATCAAAAATTACTATATTATAATTGATGAATGAAACCTGAATTCGAAATAAATTGCAATTATTCGTGATTTAAATGACAATAATGAATGACTCAACATTTTTTAAATTTAATCTTAGAATTCAATTACGTGTTTGGTATCCTACATTTTCAATTAACGGTTTGGGTTAGGTTAAGATGACTCATTACTATTAGATTTCGATACATACATATCTAGTTGATTCATTTAGAAATATATTATATAAATTAAATTTAAGTACAAAAATGTAACTTCCAAAAATATTCAAGATGTTTAATGTTATCAGTATTCTGTATTTATGAAAAATAAAAAAAATTACTCAAATAATTAGATACAAAATTGTATATTTAATAAATTTTTAACAAAAAAAGAAACTTGTACACTAAAAGTTTATTTTATACTAATGGCAAATATTCGAAATAGATACATATTTATAATAGTAATGAATTAAAGATTTTCAATGTTAATTTTGTAAATCCTTATCGCTTATTATAATATTATCTGATGTGTATATATTGGAATATCTCTTCTTCACTATAGTGTAACTAACTTTGATTTTTAAATAAAGAAATCTACTACGTGATCACATAATTATATGCAACTGGATCACATGACTGACTACTTTGAAACGTGTTTTTATACGGACACGTTACTTTAGCTTTTGATTATTAATTATTTACTCGTACTTTCTGTTCATAATTATACACGAAGAATCGAGAAATCGTCACCAACTTGACGGTTCGCTTGGAAATTGCTAGTTACTTTCGAGTACCTAATTAAAAACAAACGTCACGAAACGTAACTGATAACATGTGCTCGTACTCATACAAATGCCCACATTACTATTTGTGACAGACAGAATAATTTTAACTATAAGTATTTATAATCACGTACGTTGTTTATATATAACGATTTCCGTTATCATCTATTTCTAAGAGGTGACGCAAACGTTTCAATCCAGCTACATTCATTGTTTAAAACGTCGAGTTATCGCAGTCTTTTCCTTTAAATTTTTTATATATCGATAAACAATTCAAGATTCATTACTAGATATATTTTATAGCAGTATCAATGAACGTAATAGATAAATTGAAACACGCAAAGTTTTTTTCTGTAACTTTCTACTTTTATTCTTTCATGTCACGGCGACAGTACTTTCATTACGTAATCGTATCTGTAAGTGGAGTCAGTAAAACAAATATCAATCACCGATAAATAAGCTAATTCTCATAATCACACTTAAAGGTAACTCGAACAATTGATCGGTATGTAAGTATAGTGTTATCATCATTCATAAACTACATATAAAAAATTTGTTAATAATAAAAATAGAAAAGTGAAATATTTTTAGAAACATTTGAAAATTACTTTTTTTACATTATATTAATATTACTGTATTATGTTCGATATCAGTTTCGCATTAAAACCATTGAAATAAAGATATACTTATGCGAGTATAAAAATGAACATTGTTTAAAAGCAAACAAAATAGTTAAGTATGATATATTACAAGTAACTTCAGATAAATTTCTTAGTGATTCAACTACTTCTTTTCAGTTCTTATTATTCGAAGATTACCGCTTTTAATCGGTATCATGCAAGATATTACAATGTCCCTATAGTATCTTCAGATATAAAGTGTCTCTTCTCATACATCAATGTGATCGGATAACATTTCGTAACAAATTTTAAAGTAGATATATATAACCTTATCAATACACGGTATAAATTTGAAAGTTAATAATCATTGATATAAAAACTAATAAAAATAACGAAAATAATAATTTCCTAAAAATTAGGAAAGTATAAAAAAAAATATTGGGAAAAATATAAAAAAAAGACTAAAATGAAATTTTTTACTTGTTTATTCATAATTAAGGTTCGTCGGATGACAAATCCGACCATCACAACGAGGTATATAGCTTCCTTAATTTACACTTTAACGGTAAATTTAAAGACAAATTTCTCATTGTCTACTCGCACTCATACCTACATAAACCCAATCACTAAATACACAGACACACGATCCATACCAAAAAAAAAAAACGTACTAATTCTTCATTCATTCGTTCGTATAATCACGTGTTCATCGGAACTGTGATCTAATCCAATATTTGCAGTCATGAACTAGTCAACATTTGTACAATGCGTAGACATGACACAATGCTCGACACCATGAATGTTCCGCCGGCATCTCGCAGGGTGACACGCTACAATCCACCTATCCGGTTCTTCTCAACAGTTCCGATATCGTAAAATGAATCACACTCTACCGTTAAACCGAACACGCATGTGCACCCAATATGCATATATATATATAATATATATATATGCGTGTAGAACAAATTTACACGCGCGTACAGCATTTGTTACGTCGCTAACGATCGATAGTGATAAATAACTATATATGTACTTAATATATGCGGAGCGAATGTAAACCTACTATGTGTTGATCGTGTAACAAACTCACGCGCTCGCGTACTTTACAAGTTGGTTTACTGTCTCTCTTTAACCAAGCCTGCTAAATACTTTCAGACGCACAAAATGGCGGTAATCTGTGTGCGTGTAATTATGAAAAATAATTTGAAAGTATATATATATACATACATACATATATATATATATGTAATAATATACATATGTGTATATATATATGTTTGTGTGTATATATATACATATGTATATAACTCAACTAACGAACGTTACATTGTTGTTCTATTTCAACCGAATAACTCGTTCGTTGTGCAGAAGAAAAATAAAAAACGTAAATGAGATCACCATCCTTCGAATTGCAATGCTTCCGCGCGCAAAAACGTTCCTACGGTGTATCAGATTTAAGTAGAAACTGTTAAATACATCGAAAAATATACGAGATATGAAAAAATGCTTCAGACAAAAGTTATAGGGTATCTAAGAGGACAGACGGTACTAATATTTATTTGACCTAGTCATAGCCTTGAAAAGCTGTGTAAATACTGCGATTAAATCTTTAAATGTGGACCTATATCATTTTATTACATATTTTTGTCGATTACATCAAAATATTTTTCAAACTTTACCTACTTTTATCTTTTGTACAAAGCACTCTCTAGATATGAATTTTCAAAGTTGACACGCTGTCAGCATTAGTATTACTCAATGTCGATCGCGAGGAGGTTGCATGGTTGGACTTTATACACTAATAGTGGCTGTAAAATGCCGGCAGCATATCAATTTTTGAAAGCTCATATCTCGAGAACGTCTAACCTAAACCCTACAACGTTTATCTGAAATATTTTTTCGTATCTCCCATATTTCTTGAGATACTTGATAATTTCTAGTTAAACCAAACACCCTGTATAATTCGTTGATTGATTTCTCAAACGATTTACTTAGTTGACTCCTCTAATAGTGACTGGACTATAACAGCCCGAATAAATCGAGCCAAATTTTTCAACTAATATATCCTATAGGATACTTTTCGTTCATACGCGTGCTCTTTTCTGCATTTCACGCTATTAAAAAATAACTATAATAGAAGTAACAGAAGAATTCAAATAAGCATTAAATTACTATGCTGGTTTATTATGCTGTCGATTCACGTTAGGTCATAAGAGTTGCCAACGTTTCTTTCTTTCTCGTTTTTCTTTTTTTTTTCTTTTTCGTTTAAATAGATATTTCGCATTAACGGTATGCTATCAAAAATTACTTTGCATAATTATAAAAAAAAACGAAGAACTTATCAAAACAAATGGAAAACTGGAAATTTTTGTATAGAAAAGACTGAATTATATACAGTTTCAATCATAAACAGTTTTGCAGTATTATCATCGATCACTGTTTCCAAAATTTCATTTTCTATTACCCTGGACGCGAACAGCACTCAGGAACTCTTCTTTATCTTTTTCTTTATTCAAAGAGGGACGAACTCGTACTTTTAAAAAACGATGAACTTTGTTGTCATGTAAATCGAATCCGAGGGCTCGATCGAGGCGGCCATGTCTTCCACGTAAGCCTCGTGGACTGTCGATATGCTGACGATCTTAGCCGAAGTTACCCGAAGCCCTGTGCGTGAAACTGCTTCGAATAACAACATACCATATTTACAAACACGGCCATGTAAGGCGAGTTTTTGGCTAATTATGTTTACCTCGTTGTACTTTCTTTCGATACGAGCCACATATGTTTCACTTAGGGGGCGAATGTTCTCATTTGACAACACCTTTTCGTGTGTACACACACACGCCCACACACACATATACATACGCATACACGCACGCACGATATACCGTAGATAGGTAAATCGGGGAACGAAAACGGCCGTTAATAAAGGACACCGAACTTTTTTCACCCTCATCCGTACACTATGAATCTTTCTTTAAATCCCATACCGGTTAGAGCCGGCTACACGATAATTCAGTTTCAAAGCTCAAGTGGCTCGTAAACCGGTGGTAAATGTTCATCTTCGGAATCGTAAAAGTATGGTTTTCTTCGATAAACCGTCGACGATTGTTTGTCATCTTCTTCCTCCTCAGAATTATCCAAGTCGACGAGATTCGCTTGAAGTCTTTTCACAGCCTCTTTTATTAAACCACCTTCTCTGAGCAATTCCTGTAGAAGCTCATATGGGTCGTCGTCCCTTGTAGTGGGCCTTTTATGATGATGATGATGATGATGGTGATGATGATGATGACTTAGGTGATGACGATGATCGTGGTCACCGGTATTTTTCGTGCCGCATATCTCGCAGCTATTTGGGTCTGCCCACGATCTCGACGGTATTTGGTAAGGCGACGGTCGACTTTTATGACTGATGCTGGACTTAGCCTTCAAGCTGGATAGTCGAAGATTTTCTTTAATCTGCGATACAAGAAGGTCCACGTCGCGGGAGAGGAAGTCTTGCGTCGTGTTCGGCACTACTTCGATCAAGTACGTTGTTTCCTCGGCGCTCGGCATGGCGTACGTACTTTCCCCCGTTCACCGGCTACGAGAACAAAAGGACAATGGCACGAATGCCGTGTTTACACCTCCACGTCTACGATACGGGCGAGCAGCGGGCACAATAAAGCCGCGCTCTCGGCCAACGTGTTATTGTCCTCTCTCTTTCTTTCCCTTTCTCCTTCTCTCTTTTTTTCCTTTCGTAAATACACACGAAACGTTTTTCACACTGCACACACTACACAATAGTCTTCCAAGTATGTTTTTCTCCTCTTCTTTTTCTTGAATTTTTTACATACGTAAAATATATTCGTCTTTAATTAGTATACGATCAGGTAGTAGTTGAAGTGATCAACCTGTGCTTTTAGTTTCTCCAGTTTGACATGCACTTGATGTTTACGAACATATTTAGAAACGTTCGTGTAAACATAGATGGCCTAAACTACCAGCCGCGTCTCGTAATCGCATGGAACGCGTGATTCACTGTGTAAATACGCACCACCTATCCTTCCCCCTCTCTTCAAGCCTTTCCTTTTCTCGAATGTTGGACGAATCATCAAGTTTTGCTCGTGCTTTACTTCAAAGAATTGAATGAATACATTCTCACTGACATATGCATAGCTTACTCATATACTCGTGCAATATATATACACGCTAATTCGTTCAACGTATACAGATTCTCTTCTCCGTCTCTTTTTTTAACACGACTGCAGTTACTTCAACGTCAACATTGTTTCTCTCTCGGTCGTATTACATTTCAGTTCAAGCACACGTTGCACAATAATACACGTTTTGACGCAAGTCTGGCTCCGGCACCACAGCGTATACGTTCGGAATCAAGACGATTGTAATACTTGGAACGATCACCAAGCAACTGTTTTCAGAGAGGTAGAAGTTGAATGTTTGTCGTTCGACTGACTTACAGACATTCGAATGAAAAGGACACGACAACGTTCGTACATCTAAAGCGAGCGACCGCTCGTCCGCTAGCCACAAACCTTCTACTCTCTTATTATTGTTTTGGTTCTGCCGCGCATGCGCACTTTCCCCCACGCTCGTGTAAACAAACCGTTAACTCGTGAGCTCTGGCGAATCGATAATATCTTTGCCACTTCCTTGTTCCACAATCCCCTGCCCCTTCAAGAAACCATGTACAAGCGTAAGGCGAACTGATTTCACTTCGTGAGTCTTTCGCAATGTATCATTGGATTCGTAATAAACATGAATTTCGGAGAAGAGGACGTCGTACGCGTCGATTTGTTGTACATGAGTTCCGCTCTTACTCCTGAAGCGTTTGAGCTTGGATGAAATAGCAGGATCAGGGGTCGCAGGGTAAAGGGAGAGAGAGGCTGCAATGTACGGATCAAGGTTACACTCGAGCCCGTGTTAATCTACGTCATCCTCTGCCAAGTTTATCGTGCGTGCGCATACGCGCGTGTTCTCGATTTCCACTTGCAATATATGTGTTTACGTGCAAATTTATCTACAGCTAGCGAATCATTCATTAGACCTAATCTACAGAACGATGTTACCTGTTGTGCGCTCATTTCACAAAGCCTTTTGATCGACAGAAAATTACGAAATCCTAGGAAAGGTTGCGTTAATTGCATCATCACGAACCGGGGGCCTTGTTGTGTGTATGATTACTCAAACACATTGTAAATTATCGAACGAGATGACATTTTCTTGCGATAAATCTATCCATTCTGTTAGGAATAGAGTAATAAACTGTTTTCTTGAATATCAATGAAACATGCACGATTTACTTGGAAACATGGATAAAAATTATGTCGGTTGTGACATAACATTTAGTAAAAATAGCATGTAATTTTAGTTGCGAAAGCTGAATTAGTGAGCAATAATAGACTAACCTTACATTTTATGAAAGAGATGGATATTCGTCAATTGAAAAATTCTTTTGTATAATATATAACATATAGTTGTATATTTATATATATTCTTAAGATCATTTTTAGTGTTAACTTTACAGATAATAAAATTTTTATTTTTTTATTTTATTGGCTATAAATAAATACATGTAAATATTAATAGTATGTTATTTTTAGATTTTTATATCATTAATTAATTACATAATAATATATATATGAAACCCAATAAATTGTAATGTAATTTTAGAATTATACTAATATTTTGTCAATAAATATTTTTTTATTACTTCTCAATATTTACAATATTTTTATATACTAGAAAAATATTATTGATGCAATTTTATGAATAAATTTGTATAAAATTTACTAAATTTAAGGTTATATAATTTTCAATTATAATATTCGATCTTTTTATTTTTCACATATGAGTAATATTTACTACTAAATAAAGAAATATGTAATTTTCTTTTATAAGAAGATACATATGTAATAAGTTTCTTTTTCTTTTTCTATAACGTTCTAGATTAAATAGATGGCGCTATCGTGATTCTCCTTAAAAATCAGCTGATCCTGAAACAAACAGTGTTACTTACATGCTCTGTAAGGTTGAGTATTTCTTTTATTTAATTGTTTTCAACGAAAAACTGTCACGCATTGGATTCTAAATACAAGAACAAATGAAGATTACACTAACGCGATCTGTCATAATAACTATGTTCGGTCGAGTGTTTATGTCAAATTTTCGTAATATTTCGGTAGGTACAAAACATATTCTCTAACGTAACTGCACGTTTACCTCAGTGCAGATTGCTCCATAACCAGATAAACTTTATAATACGTATAATTTTCTTTCTTAATATGCTGAAACCAGCCCATTAAATATTCATTATTTACATTTGAAGAAATTACCAATATCCTATTTCCATATTTTCCTTCTAAAACATTAAAACAAAATAAATAACACAAATTCTTCAAGAATGCGAAAGATGAATAAAATGAAAGTTTTGCAGCTTCTCTCGAGGGTGTGGAATGGTTCTAACAGAATATTGGCTGGTAAACAATCTGAGGAAAAAATGATATCAATTTTAAGAAACAAATTTCCCGAAGCTAAAGTTATAGAAGTAAATGATATATCAGGTATAAGGCAATAAAATACATTTTTTATACAAACATGTAATTATATTTTTAGATAAAGATATGAAAAAAATTGGTTTATTTATTTGAGAGATTGTATAATTTCTTAAACAAATAATCAATATTATATACAGTCATATAAACATTGATGTCAAGAATCGTATTATTATATAGAAATACTTAGATAATAATTTAGACACTCAGAATGCATGTAAAAATTATTAATCTAAATAATTTAATAGTTATAGAATAGTTATCAAAAATATTTTACTTTGTGATGTTTTCATATATTTTTTCTGTTTTTTGTATTCCTTTGAAATTTGAAGAAATATTTATAATTTATTTTAGGAGGATGTGGTGCAATGTTTGAAATAAATGTCATTGCACCAGAATTTAAAGGATTAAACACTATTAAGCAGCATCGATTAATTAATGAAGTAAGAAAGATATCAAGAAAGATATTAAAATATTATTGATACATACTAATTTTAATTATTTTCATAGGCACTTAAAGAAGAGATTAAGGATATGCATGGTGTCAGAATATATACAAGTGCTCCTAAATGTTAGATAATTTTTTATTTTTTATATATATTTATTTCTTTTTGCATACACGTAACATTTAAATATTTATTTAGTAATTTTTAATAATGAGATATATATATATAGATAACACAAATATTTATAATAAAGTACTAAAATAAATTCAGATATGTTGAAATTTTGTATCTTCCCACACAATCTTTGCATATTTATTGATATATTGAAGATAATTTACATAAAATACAATTTATAAATACTAGTTTTTAATATATTTTTAATTTTTGCACTATTTATTTTGTTTTAAACATATTTTGTATACACAACATAAAAAAAATGTATACAAAATATTTTGCATACATATATATACAGTTAATAATTTGTTTCTATCTTGTTAGATCAAATAACAATTTTCTTGTTAAATATTATAAAATAGCAAAACTTTTTTTAATATTTTAATGTTTTTATTTTAATTAGCTTTAAAAAAAATGCGATATTATAACTTGTCTTTTAACAAATTTTTAAACTTAGTAACAAAATTACTAAGCGACCTCACGCGGATTCAATCGGCAGCTTTAAGATAAAAAGTTTAAATTTCACCAGTAAAATATGACTGAAATAATATATTTCTTGAATCGACAATGTTGTTATTTGACCCATTAAAATAACAAACACAGTGCGATATTTTTCTCTAGTGACCTTTGATCCGACTGTCAAATCGTAGATATGCCGATATACATATGTATTGTTTTCACTTAAAGAAATGTATCATTCGAGGTAAAACGGGCAGTTTTGGTAGTCAGAAATAACCGTTCAGTCTGTGATCATTAAATATGAATTACTTAGTAGGAGATATGGAACAACTTATTACCAATGATATGTTATTATGCACTGCACCAAGTCCTACGATTAACCATAATCACCAAAATACTCGATCAGGTAGTTTGTTTATTATTTTTCACTTATTCCTACCTTTTTTTAAAATATGTAGTAATAATGTAATTAGAAGATCTCAATTACTCGTTTTCTCTAATAATTTAAATTTATGTATTACATGTGGACTAAATTAATATTTGATTGTAAATCTTGTTTCTATAATAGTGTGATAAGAAGAAAACAAGTTAATGAGATTTTAAAATTCAATAGAACTCAGATCATAGCATATTTTAAAGCTGCAATTGTTTGTGATGTTTGCAGGAACTAACATATTAAGAACAATTTTTTTAATTGTTAATACTACCTTAGGAGCTGGCCTTTTAAACTTTCCACAGGCTTTTGATAAAGCTGGAGGATTGGTTACATCTATTAGTGTACAACTTATATCACTCATTTTTATCACTGCAGCGCTTATAATTTTGGCCAATTGCAGTGACATTACAAATACCTCTTCTATGCAGGATGTGTTTGCTAATTTTTATGGACAAAGATCATTTCTTTTATGTGCCTTTTGTATTATGATATATAGTTTTGGATGTTGCTTAACATTTTTAATAGTTATTGGTGATCAATTTGACCGAGTTTTAGCAACGTACTATGGACTTGACTATTGTCATACATGGTAACTAAAATAAAAATATATTGTAAAAAATAATTTTATTAATATGATTGTTTTTCTCTTAGCAAATTTATTATTTTAGGTATTTATCAAGAACATTTGTTACAGTTGTAACAAGTAGTATATTTATATTGCCATTATGTTTTTTTAAAAAACTGGATATATTAGGTTACGTTAGTTCTATTGGTTGTGTAACTATTTTATATGTAGCATTATTAGTAGTCTATAAATATTTTACAAACATAGAAACTCCCAATAATCCTATGAAAATATGGCCTGATAATAAATTTGAAGCACTTCAAATAATTCCAATAATTTGTTTTGCATATCAGGTATTATATTTTCAACAGAATTACAATTTTCTACATGAAAAACCTAAAAAAGTTACTCTTTTATAAAAGATTTTTTTCATTACATTATATTATATTTGCAGAATCATATGACAGCAATACCAATGTATGCTTGCATGAAAGAGCGAAAAATCAACAAATTTATATTATGTGCCATAGCAAGCATGATTATTTGCTTTATTGTTTATACAATAGTTGGTATCTTTGGATATGCAACATTTGGTGCTGGCAAAGTACCCAGTGATATACTTCAAGGCTATGCTGATAAAAGCATAATTCTTACTTTAGGCATTATATTCATTGCAATTAAAAATTTTACCACATATCCAATTATTTTGTACTGTGGTCGTGATGCGCTTTTAAGTCTTTTAGGATTGGACATTAATGTAACAATAAAATGTAGAATTTTTATTACACTGATCTGGTACATACTGTCATTAATAATTGCAGTATTTGTACCAGACATTTCACCAGTTATTAATTTACTAGGGACCTTGTCAGCAGCTTTCATCTTTATCTTTCCAGGCATTTGCTTGTTTCAATGTACACTTTTAAAAGATTCTGAATTACATTTAAATAAAGATCGACTGCTAATATTTTTTGCAATTTTTATTACTGCACTTGGTGCGTTTACATCTGGTGTTGTATTTGTAGAAGCAATAAAAGATTTGAATATAACGCCTAAAGAAACTCCAGTAATAACTGGTTTTAGACAGTTAAGAGAGAGTTTATGTACTTAATATATTTTACTCAATTTAAACATTGAACAAAACTTAATAAACAAAAATAGCTTATAATATTTTGGCCATAAAATAATTTGTAATACTGTTTAAGTATTGCAATACCTAAACTAATTATTACTACTTATTGTAATTAATAAGTCTTGTTATTACTTAAACAAATATTTTATTATACACTGATATATTATTATAATTGTGATAGAAAATCAGAAAGTTTTTAAAAATTGAAATTTGTAATTTTTTATTTTTGTACTGCATATATGGAATAATATTAAAAAATAATAATAAATAAATAAAATTTTAATAATATTTTACATAATTTGTTTAATTTCCTCCAGTATCTATCGAACTTTTTACAAAAAATTTATTTTTACAATTATTTTCATAACAAACTATAATTTGTAATATATTCACATAACGCCATTAATACAATTCCACAGGCTATTTTGAGGTCGTACTTTTGGAACTAAAATCGAGTAATACATTGTCAGAAAGGTCTACGACTTTTTCGATCGTTACTTTACAAAAAAAGCATGATCTGTTGTTTAAAAGATGTCGATCGATACAAATACGACACGTTTGATGGTCACAAGGTTTAAAAGTTACTGCTATAGGTTGTGCATAGCATATTGTACAAGTATCACCATTATCGCTTGAAATTTTTAAATTTGGCAAAATAGTACGACATTCATCTAAATATTCAATCATGTCTTCCACTTTTTTAATTTCTTCCTTTGTTACGTCATTTGGATCTACAAAGGACAAAAAATTATGATTATTTATTACTTTAAGTTTGTACACAATTATATATTTATACTTACAGTTTAAAAAAGAAAATTCTTTTAAATTTCTCTCTTGTTTATCTTTTTGTTTTGAATTTCCTAACAGGAAATAAAGAGTGCTCATTTGGAAACTTGGTTCTATTAATAAAGTCTGAGTAATTTTTGGCACTTCTGTTATGGATTTTGCTAATAGAAGTAATATTTTTTATGTATTGAATTTTGATTATACATTTTTTTATGCATAGTAAAAATGATACTTACATTTAAAGTTGATCATATCATCATTGAGTAATATCAGCAATACACCTGTAACTGCTGCCAGTATTGGAAAATGATCTACTGATTCCAAATCTGAGATTTCCAACAATACAACATGTTGGAAGCAACTGGTTTGTGAGCTGATTCTATTTAAAACTTGACAAAGTAACTAAAAAAGTAATATAATAATAATTATATATAAATAAAGTACAAAGGTATTAAATACATAAAAACATGTACTTGGCACAATCTAAATAATAGATTTTCACTAAAAGACTGTGACGGATTATTAAAGATGTTTGGAATCACTGTGATGATCATCTCCAAAACTCTCAACAGAGAAATTGTTAAGTCGAAACATGTGGCGCAAATTTTTAGTTGTCCAGATTCAATAAAAACTCTTTCGGGTCTCGATGAAACATTGCGAATCTCCTGCACCATTCCAATAAATTCAGAAAAGGTCCAGTTTAACAGATTTAGCAAGGAATTTAATAACGCTGTTGTGTCCTGCACATTTTTTAATAATACATCCCTTACATGGTTTTGGTATACAATGGACGGACATGGATCTAAAGAATGGAGATCAGTAAGCTTACTGATTGTCCAGTTTTTAGGGCATTTACTGAAAACAAGAATTACGTACTTCTAGGTTGAGTAATTGAATCGTGCCGAAATGATTTTGATCCAACTTTTTTCAAAAGATGTGGGCTTTTTTCATATCGAAAGGCGAAACCGTTACCTTGCCAAAATCTAACTAAAATCCAATTCGATTCAGCCCATGCTCTATTTTCATATGATTTTAGTAAATTTGTCACAAGCTTTACTCTACTTTCTTCTGGCACATTTTCCATAGCTTCTAATGTTAATGGGTTGAATACAAATCCAGCTAACGTCAGAAGTAACGTACTTTTCGAATTTACATTTATAATACGAGGATCCATAAAATGATCACAAAGAAATTTAGCTATACTTAAAAATGTTTGTTGATATTCTGGAATATTTTCTATACGTGCTGTTGGATGCATGTGATTTCGTAAACCAACACATAAGTCAGCTAGTGCTTCCAAATAAAATTCTGGTACAAAACTAAACATATTTTTTTCTAAGCTAGCATTTGTCAAGGTTAATATAACCACTTTTAAAAGCCATGCTAATTGTGATTGTTTTTCTTCTGAATAAAAAGCAGCACGAATCCATGCCATATGTCTTCCTTGTTCTATTAATTTAGTATTAAAAACGTTTATCAATCTCAATAATTCTTGGTGAATTGACTCAGATTCAAAGTCTTTCTTTTTCTTAACTTCTTCTAGTCTTGTTTTTATATCTTGACTAGCAGAAATATATTCTAACATGCTATTTCTAAGAAGAGCCACTTTTGCCAATGGCTTTTTCGCAACAAAATGATAAAATAAAATAATGCTATTGAGCAACTCAAGCAAAGATGTAGTTGCATCTACAGAATTCATAGGCAATGGCGTTGTATCAACGATTGTTGATCTTCCTTGATCTAGTGAATTTATATTAAATACTCGGACGAGTGCCATCCTAGTATATGAACTAGATGAATCTGGAGTCTGTTCCATTGTAATAATCGCTTCATGTTCGGGCCCTAACAATTGTATCAGTTCACTTCTGTATAGCTTGCTCAAATGAGACACAACTCCACCTAGTCTATCGGTTCCAGAATAGTCGATCGATCCATCGTAAAATATCCTGTTCATTTTAATGTATAGAAATACATTATTAAGTGAATTAATTGCTTAATTATGGAAAGTACTTATGTATGTAAGCTTTCAAGAAGTCGTTACAGACTTATGAAAATATATGTATAGAATATTACTTGTTTATAATATATCACAAAGGAAGTTTTTCATGTAAATTTATATTAATAAGTTTATACGTATGAATGGATAATGAAAAATGATATTGTTTGATTTTATTTTGACTTTACTGAAAACCAAAAAGCATTTCAAAAATATTTCATATTGCCTTATATTTATCATATAACACAAACGGATATCAACAATACAGTTTTTCCAATTATAATTTTGTATATAGTAACAGATGCTATATATCTATAATAATTTAGGAAGAAAAAGGCAAGTTTTATTAAAAGATGTGTTATGATTCAAATATGAAACTGATTGGAAAGTTAGAGATTTCTAATAAACTACTGGAATTAATTTGTAAATATGATTTATAAAATCGACGGTTTTTTTTAAGTATATAAGAACGAAAATATTAAATAAAATTTAATAATGCTTACATACGAACACACACGCACGTTAAGTATAATTTAATGTGATACGTCGTCAAAAGAATGCATATACTGTTAACAAGATAGTTTAAATAAAATATATACAAATATATTTAACAGAAGTTTACCTGCAAGGCACGTAAACAGAAGGTGTTCCAACTTCGGTATCCCATAGAGTTTTGAACGCAACCAGAAGTCGATAGATAAAACATAGTGTAATTGGTGCTGGATTCTGAAGTTATTGATTATTATCTGTAGGAATACTGACCAGAAACATAATGCAACATAAAGTATTTTAATTATTGAAAATTGAATAGTCCTGTACTTACATTATTTGCTATAGGAATAAAAGATTTAAATTTTCTTAAAAATATAGTTCTCGAAGTTGGTCTTGTTTCACTACCATCAGAATTATCAAGAAGAATTATTAATAATAATACTTGTAATTTCTCCAAATCTGTAAAACATAAATTGCAGATATAAAAACACTATAAATTATATAGTGAAAACATTTGAAACTGATTGTACCAGAAATAGTAGTTTTAATTTGTTGACATGCTTCCAAATAACTTTCTTTATTAGCTTCAACTGTTAAATCTACAGGATCTGTTTCCCACCACACATTACTGACTATGTCAATTAGTCCTTTTTTATCTGGTGGTTTAACATTTAAGAAATTTGGAAGCCTTACTTGATCAAAGAGTAAATGTTGTAGTAAATATTGACGTGTTGATATATGTTGACAAATTTTTGTTAGAAGAAGTAAACTTTTAGACTGATCAAAGTATTCAGATAAGCAAGATACATGTTTAAAAGTAGATAATAAAAAGAGAACAATAGTTTCTAAACATGTCTTAATTTCATGCTCTTCGAGAAATGTCCATAATAAATCTAAACAAGTTGATAATAAAGAAGTAAAATTTGTCTCTGATTCAGGAAGATGTTGCATGAAAGGAATTAAAATATGTTCTGTGATATATGGTATTGCCACTAAAGGTCCTATGTGTTTTAAAACACAATTTGAAAGACACATTAAGTAGGCATGTACACTCATATTTTCATCATGCAACATAATCTCTTTATTCGTATTAAGGTTTGCATTTATCTGTTCTACTATTTTCAAGAACCATTTAAATAATAGCATAGCTTGATGTATTTCTTGTTTTGGAATTGCTTGTAGTGGTTCATATCCTTCTAAAGGATAATGCATTGGCGTAGATCCAAAATTGGCTGTTAAATATTCTGTTAATGCAAGGCTTACTGTTGGAAAATATGCAAAACCTGCACCCATTGATATATTTTCAAATGCTCGTCCTAGATGTCTACCATTTCTACAGAAATCAACATTTCCATTATCTAAATCTAATGCACATCCAATTATGTCTCCTGCAAGCCATGGTTCTCCATATACATATGTAGCCACATTCCATTTTCTAACACGATTTCCATCATAAGCATATGAATTAATGGTATCTCCTAATAAAGAAACATTTTAAATCGAATTATTCATTTAAAATTATTACTCAACGAAACAGTAATAGATATTAAGAAATACTTAACAATTATTGTTCAATAATTTTTTAGAATACATTATTAAAAATATCAACATACCAACTCCAGATTCTTGAGTAAATTTACAATTAGCTGTACTCCATCCAATTTGCATCAGACCTTTACTACCAAGCTGAACTTCATACAACCATTTTCCTTGATATACTGCTGTATTTGCTCTCATTGTGCTAAAATTGCTTCTAGGACTTACAGTAAGCCTATCAGGAGAAATTGAAAACAGTCCTAAACGTGATGATACATCAAATCGGACTACATTTGGTCCAATTCTACCAATTCTAGTGTCTTCCACATTTTTTACTGGAGCATCTTTTAAAAGGGTATTTTCAATATACTTATTTACCAAGTCTAAACTCTGTGACACTCTAAAATATTAATACATAAATTTAAAAATTATTATATTGATATATTAATAAAGGAATAAAAAGCACAAATTAGTAAAAATACCTTGAAGAGTTTTTATTTTCCATTGATTTTCTATCAGTGATATTTAACACATCTGACCCAAAAATACTTTCAACAATTTTATCAATTTCCATGTTGGAAAATCTTAATCATTCATCAGCATCAAAAATATTAAAATGAGATAAGTTTATGTGACAAATAAATTTATTCACAAACTGAACTAAAGGCAATGTATTTTTTCGCTCAGTCAATATATTATTTTAAAAATATGAGGTAAAATAATCAGCATTGTATTTTCAATGACTTCCTGGATTTGTCGATTGCCAAACAGTATAATAAATTGTGATAATTATCGAAAACTAACCACATTTTTTTTTAGGAAACCTATGGTCACGCATAATATCAAACACAAAACAATTGAAATTGGCAAAAATATGCCAATACAAATATAAATATTTGATATACGAATTCTTGATAAATTTTTTTAAGTTTGTTATTAATAAACATGCATACACATAGGTTACAAGAGCATCTCTATAATTTAACGAGGAACATGTAGTATTCAGAGGTGGAAAGATAAACAGGAGAATGGCACAGAGGGTTTTCTTGTTAGCTCCGTCTGTCCCCACCTTGTTTTCGTATGGCCAGTTGACGCTACATGCTGACATAATAGTAAAATTCTTGTATTCTTGTATTTTTAGAGATACACTCTATGATTTATTAAAAATAAATCCATGAATACGAGGATCTTACTCTGCTTACTAACACAACTTGATTATTTTCACTTGTATGTAATAAAGTAAAACCTATCCTTAATAGAATGTTAGCTTGGTGTATTAGTATTAAGATTGCTGCATTACATTGCTCGATTTGCATCATCTCATTCTGTCTAACGCATCTCAGTTTGTCTTCATATGACTGCTTCAATCAATAGTACGGGATAGCTAAAATTATGAGTGAAGAGAGGCGGCAGTAACTACTGCGTCTGATCGAATCACATTCTCTAGCTTCTTTTTTCTAGCTCTGAATAGTATATATACAATAGTTGATATTAGCTGATCTATCACGTATTTTTAAGTATGAATATATTTTCTTCCATTCATATTCGATGTGCTCTGAAAATATCGATGTATTTAGCTAATTATTATAAAATTAACTTACAATAAATGAACTATATCATACTTATTAAAATAAAAATATAAAATATTTAAAAAAATTTTTAAATATAAAAAATCTTAAATATTGCGAATTCAATATGTAGATTTTTTTTAAATATTAGTTTATATTGATTGCATACGAAGAAAATAAAGAAAATTATATTTTTTAAAATAATTAAAAATATATGCGAAGAACACGATTATTCACAATAATTTTTATTATTTATTTTATTTTTGTAAAGTAACGATAAATGATACTACTAAATACAATAAAAATACAAAATAATATTAAATTACTTTCAATGTTGCATAAATTTCTTTTACAATATGTAATCACAATTTAATTTCGTCATAAAATTGAAATTACTCATAAATTCAGCGAATTATAATAAAATGAGAAAATTATAAGTGAGGAAATTACTTACCGTAAAATTTTACAAAATCTACAATTAAACTGGGAATGTGATCAGGTTTGTTTCTCAAACGGTCAATACAGCCTGCAAGTTTCTTTATTGAAGATAATATCAGTAACCGTAACGGAAAATAGTCAAATTAGGCTCCTGTATCTGCACGAAAGGTCAAATTGACATAAATACATAACAACATTAAATTACACGTTAAATTACACTGAATTCTCATTAAACTAATCATTTATCATGAGAATAATTATAGAAAAGGAAACAATTGTAAAGGTGCAACTCTTATCGTGAAGTATATAAAAACGAACGCATCATAATAAAACCGAAGTCTTAGCAGCGTGTTCGTTCAACAAATATTATGGTACAATTGGAAAAAGGGCAATAATCCATTGGCTTTGGTATTTTCTTATTGCGGTGGGTATAATGTGATAATATTTCGTACTAATATTTGATCAATAACTATAGAGTATTATGTTAGTCAATCTTAACTGAATTCGCATCACTCGTTAATTCTACGGAATCGCGATCGTTTATAGCACGTTCCGCATAATTTTCCACTCAAAGTATAATTCGTAGAATGCTTGCACATAGTATCAAGTATACTGTATGCATATTATTCGATAAACGAGTACAATTTTTTTTTTTTTTCAAGTTGGTTATAGGGAAGAAGGGCATGAATACGTCGAGGTGTTATATCGCTTTCTTCCGAATTCGTTGAATTTTTTTCTCATAATAGAATTATTGGTACATATCTAGAACTGACGTCAAACCGTTAAATATTCGTGCATTATTGTACACTTATTATTCTCGAATATATCGAACATCATTGTCGTATAATTCTTATTAAAGACGTCCGTGACATGTTGATAATAATAAAAATAGAAATACTAATAAAAATAATAATGGTAGTAATAATAATAGCAATAGTAATAATAGTAATAGTATTAATAAATAATAGCACTAATAATAGCAATAGTAATAATAAATAATAGTAATAATAATCGTAAAGGTAATATTAATAATAAACCACAGGGAGAGCCTCTAACCCCTGTACGGCGCGTTCCTAAATCACAAATAGGGGAACGCTACCCAAACATAATGGGAAGAAGGGAAATATCCAAACACATTTTCATGCACCAATGAATTAGGAGAAGGTACCATGAGTTTTAAACCGTCCATAGAAACCGTACGTGAGGAGAATTCAACTACAGTGTCAAGGATTGGATTCCTAGTACCGATGCATGTTAAAGATGAGCAAATGGGCACCCAAAAGCACTAAATGCTATACTACAGACGGGTCAACAAACGTGTTGGTGTATTAGCAAAGAAATATTTTGTTTCAGCCCCAAGAGGGGAATTTTGTCGAATTACTAAAATGTGGCTGTGCAATTATTAGAGATGAAAGAAGCCATCTTTGAAGAATGTTCCAAAGACGAAAACATGACGAAATTTAACCAGGTCTTGAAAGAGACTGTGGGTGATGAGGTTTTTATACAAGACTTGACCTTGACATTATTTATTGAGATGGTGAGGCTGAAAAAAACCAGAGAGGTGAAGAAGCTATTGAATGATCGGACGGAAGCTCACCAGGGGTCTCACAAATACGCGATGGTGCGAATGATATATAATTTGATTGGCAAATTCATTGAAATAACACAAATTCCGATAGGGTAGATGGTAGATGTAAAGAACAAAGATAGAAATATCCTAATGCTACAAGTATATAGGCTTGGGGCACATCTGCTCGAAATGCATGGCATGTGTGACTACATGGATTACAAAAGAAAGGATTGTAAAAAAAAAAATACAGAATAAAACTTTCAAGGCTTAATTTTTGATATCAGTAAAATAAAATCATAAAATATTGTAAATAAATTTAGCGAAAAGCAGAAATGCTTCTTGAATGCCTTTTGATTTAAATTACATTCCTCTATTTAACGGACATTACAAAAGACATAAATTCTTTGAATAGTTTAAATACGTCTCAAAAAGAATAGATAGAGCTTTTTTAAACACTAATAGTAGCTAAATTCTACGAATTTAATTATGGCTACTTACGAATAAAGATTCGTAAGAATTCAGGAAGGAAATTTAGGAAGGGAAATTAATGAGTGAGTAAGGCAGCGCCACGGTCGTTGAAGAAATCGCTAGAAAGGGAGGGAATTATAAATTATATAGTAGACGCATGATTGTACTGACAAGCCTGTTGCGAATAACCTAGTAGTATTAAACATAGGTTTAAAGTACATATTCAAAAGGGGAATGCAGAGTATAATTATCGACTTGATGTTCGTCTATCTGAATTTGATGAGACAGATTTGATATTAGTCAGTACTTGACACAGAGGCACCCAGCGACCATCAGTATATAGAATATGAATTTAACAGCTTTAAGAGGCAACCATTGAGATAAAACCTAGCGCCAATAAAGAAAGGAAATACGATGAAGAAACTAGGCCCTGAAAAGCTGGAAAAACACCTCAGAAAGTTGAATTTATTTAGGATTTGAGATTGGTTAAAAGACCACATTCTGTAGAACTAATTAAAGCCTCGATAGACGTTAATAGTAGGCACTTGTAAACCATCGATGCCAAGGCTAAAATGGCAACAAGACACAAGTTCTTCGTATTGGTAGTCGGGAAAATATTTCGAATCTCTAAAAAGAGGGCTTATCTGTACATAGAAAATTTACTAGAGGTAAAGGCAACGGTGATCATCGAGAAAAGTACAAAGATGTAAAAATATGTTTCACAGGATATATTGGAAAAAAGAAGAGAAAGTGCTGGGTAGACTTGATCAAGGAATTGGATCATGATCCATGGGGTCTGACCTATAAAGAAGTCAGAAATAAATTTAGAATAAGGTAAAATTTACCATTCTAATGGACATGCAGCAGAGATAGGATTCTACAATAATATGTAGACAGTTCCATATTAATCGGTGATACGGATTGCTTAGTATGGTCAAAGCATTTTCCCCTCCTCCCAAGAAAAAAAACTAATATTAATAATAATAGTATTAATAATAGCAATAAAAGTAATAATAGTTAATAATAATAATGATAGTGATGATAATAATAATAATAATAATAATAAAAATAATAATAACTCGGGATTAAGGTCCCGAAATCATCTCACTCATTCTCTTTAAGAAACAAACTCCTGAAAAAGGCTCTTCTTGTTTTGTTTAAAACTCATTCTCACTCGCGTGCATTTTAAAGGAACATCGAACACGTTTGTTGCAAACATCATACTGATAACACGTTGAGAAGAAATATTCCTTGCAATAAATTACAAATCGTCCAACGTACAAAATCATGTTCTCTCTCTCTCTCTCTCTCTCTCTCTCTCTCTCTCTCTCACTCTCTCTCTCTCTCGCTTGCGCACTCTCTCGCTTTTTCTATCATTCTATCGACGAAAAACTACTTAACCTCGAAATTATGTTTTTTTTTACGTTTTTTTTCTTTTTCGATGTATTTTCTCGCTTATACATTTCTCGCATCGTTTTTCAATCGTCGCTCGATGACTAGAAACATCGTTTCGCGGGTCATTTGGTAAAAAAATTATGCGAAAATGGAAAATAGTCGTAGAAAAAATAAACTCGGCCCGAGGACAGCATCAGACCTTTTATATGCAACTAAACTGTTTGTTGGCAATTGAACTTGCGTGTTCCATTCCATATAAGGGAGCGATGCTGTCCGGCTTTCCTTTCTTTTTGGGTACAGTAACTAACACACTTCGTGTCCTTGCGATTTGGGCGGAGTAACTGGTCAATGGAAAGTCAGTGGCAAATCTACGCGTCTGGAAATCTTACTCAAACACGCATGGATCGCTGAAAATAAATATTTCCTCGCTGCTAAAAACTCTTTTTTTCTGTGATACCCTGCGTAGCAATTAATTGGTTTGTTCGGCACTCTGCGCTTGTTTCTCGATTTTCCTCGCGAGCTCGGGACTCATGTGCGGATGTGGGAATGGTAATACCGGTTTTCTAAGAATCGTTGGTTTCACCTTTATTTGTGGTTTGAACGACGATACCTGACTACCGCCAGTTAGATGCATATCTGCGAATTTCGCCACTATCTTGGGCGTCGAGCGTGGTGGAAGCGGTGATCTTAAAGGCATCGAATCCGAAATCTGATTGGAACTAGACGACCGAACAATTTCCTCAGTTTCTTGTTCCGGATCATGCTCAGTCTCTACGCGTTTCAACTTTGATGCATCTGGGTTCGACTTAGTGTTTTTCTTCAAAGTGCATTGATTTTGTTTAGCAAATCGTTCTGCAGCTGTACTCATGTCAGGAGACTCGGGCCCTCCTGTTGGCGACGTAGCTGCTTCCGCTCGAGACGGCTGCGTTGGGGTTTCCTCGTCAGAGCTGCTTAGACTGCTCGATGAGGCAGACTTTTTACTCGCGTCTTGTGCCGATAAAGGTAAGTCCATCACGAGATCCGGAGTATGTTTCTGACGCATTTCACGAAACTCCTGGGAGGTACGAAAACCTTTATGATTGGGGGGTGCAGGTGGATTCAATTGTGTTTGGGACGTCGCTCGTCTCTGCCAAAGCTCTCTATTTGCCGAGAACGTTGGTTGCTCTTGTGGTTCCTCTTCTTGAGAGATGCCAGCCTGAAGAGAGTTCCCTGTCTGCTGCACATTGTCACCCATACTCTGCGATTTCCAGTGCTGTTTTCTACTCGTTCCTCGCTTTGATCCACCGTCCAAGCTCATCAAGGAAATACGTTCTGCTTCTTCACCAATGTCTTCGTTGCGTTGCTGCTGCGATGACTCGCTGAAGTCCGATATCTTCTCGTTCTCCGCGTTATTACTGATAATGATTGGTGTAGTGTCTGCGCGATGATCCGAAATGAAGACGTGTTTCTCTTTTTCAGGTGTCGATACCTTTGACACTCGGGACGTGCATTCCTGAAAACAGTTTGACAATGTGAAATGGTTGTAGATTACAATGTAGATGTTTTAAGAAAGCATTTATGATGAAATGTCTTGTTACGTAGTGAATGGGAAACTAGTGACGTTTTCCAAGTTACCAACCATGTTTGTTGCAATGAAATATAAATTATTTTCTGTGTTGTTATCGCGTATGTAGTGCCCTGGAATTTTGTCACAGATTATTTTTTTCTTCGTATCAGCAAGTGATTATATAGGTTATGTTTAATAATTCATAAAGAACTATGAGAAAGAGCCTACCAATTCTTTAACAAAATGTATTTAATTGTAATAGAACATTTATCAATTAAATGCCAAATATTTATTAACTAACACAGAAAATTTTTCATTCACTAAAATAAGTGAGACATTATAAAAAGGAGGGAGAAAGTAAAATTATAATACAATAAATAATAGTAGAAGGAATATTCTAATTTAGACGACCATTTTTAAGTCGATCTTTGGCAAATAAAAGAATTAATAAACGAACAATAAATTTAATTTAAATGAAAGGTAAATAAAATTTATATTTTCAATTTCAGACTGAAGTTGCTACATTCATTATATTTTGAAATCTCTTAACAGTAATATAGATTGAGTTTATTATTATATAAAATTAAATGATTCAATTTTTGTAATGTATATAAAGAGTAGTCCTCTTTTGAATAAAAATGACTGACATAGAATAATTTTTTTGAAAATAAAATTAATTTATTTCTAGTGCAGGTGATAAATATTTGTTTTATATTTGTATAACAATGTGAGTCAATCATCATTACAAAAATTATGCTGCCAATTTGGAAAATGTTATTTTAAATAAAAGACATTTAATGTTTTCCATATTGTTATAATGCATATAGCTACATATTTTTTAACATTAGAACTACCAATTTGTAGTATATACCTAAATGTAGTATTTATTAATTTACTAAATATGATATTTACTACATAAATAATATTAATTAAAGTAGCACAATAAAGATAAATAGGATTACATATTTATGTTTCTGTCTCAATAAAAGTCATCTATTTTACCAAATCGCAAGGTATTAATTTTGCAAGAGGTAGCTGCATACTTACGATAACTGCAAATAGAAAAGTCTGGAACTGGTCATTTTGTGTGGTTTGGTAGTTCTAATGTTGAACTTCTATAGTTCTGGTAGCTTCATAAATTTTACTGTAATACTTTAGAAATATATTTTCAAAATTTTTAGAATTACCAAATCACAAGGTATTAATTCTGCCAAAAGTAGCTGCATTCTTTCAACTGCAAATACAAAAGTCTAGAATTGGTCATTTTGTGTGATTTGATAGCTCTAATGTTAAACTTTTATAGTTTTGATAATATTCTAAATTTTACTGTAATACTTTAGAAATATATTTTTATTATTTTAAATTTCAAAAACGTGCAAAAGAAAAAAAAATCGACTCTTAGACCTTCTAATTTAAAATATCCCCTAAAAAATTATCTAAAATAATCTGCAGGCTTTAAATGTGTACAAGAATATGAAGATATATATACTTGTATAGTTGATTAAAAGTGAATATTTGCATGCGTTAATATGGGAATAAGGAAATGAATTAACAAGTGCATACGATCATGTTCATACCAAGGTAGAATTAAAAACTGCTCGTAAAACTGACAATGAGTAGGATGAATACAAGCAGGCAAACATGTAAACGTGACAACAGCCTTGCACTGATACCTATCTGTCTACAGATGCCAACGACGAAGTTAATTATTAACTGATCTGGGAGGGTGAGACGCTTGTTTACTCACCTAAAGCCAAAAGAATATCCGCTGGATAAGTAGGCTGCGAGTAGCATTCCATTTTGGTTTCATCTATAGACTGAAATTGTTTTACAGAATGCTAGGATTCACAAACCAACTGAACTGTTAAACAGAGGCACTCCTTCAACGAAACGAAAAACACAAACGACAGAACCACACGACACTTGGCAGCAGTTTTATCGAACAGTTTTTAGTCCGTTTCGCCCACTACCTATGTACGTGAAACTTTTCTTGTCAACTAAAGGCTGACTAAACGTATATCTGGAAAAACCATCCCAACTATTAACATCGAAAGTTGTAATAAGTACAAAAAAGAAAAAAAATAACGCAAGACAACAAAAAGGACACGGGCGACACAAGACAAAGAGACCAAGGCACATGCAGCAACAAACATGTATATTTCTATTTTATTTACAAATATATCATACAAATGATTACAGCTAATTGAGATAGTACTATTTCGAAGTAAATTAAACTTAACATAGCCTTAGGTTCACGTTTCCCGCTCCATGAGTTTACTATTCGGTGAGAATTAAATCTTCGAATCTTAAAAGATCATAGATTATGAACCCAAAAAAAAGAGACGATCGTAAAAGATCGTGCAGCACTTCTCAAACACATATAAAAAGAAAGAAAAAAAGAAAACTATAACGACAGTGGTTCTTGCGTAAACATATTCATTGTTTGAATTGACCTGATAACTTGTAATCTTGTATTGATTTAAATAAACAAGAGATTTTGTAGATTTGGTCCCATGAAACAAAGCGATGCTGCTTTCTATTAGATGTGTATGGTGTACAGGCAACAAGTCTGCGTCTTAAAAACGGCAATGTGCATTCCAATTTTTCGCCGCTACTGCACTTAAGGAAAACAAATTACAGCACAATAGCCATGCACTTGTGCTTAAAAGTTCAAAATCTTCCGAGTGCGTCGCAGAAAATGTACAAGCAGACGAATGTATGAAAAGAAAAAAAAACAATCGAACTAGATATTTATACTAAACGGTAGTTTCCAGTACCTCTCGACTGATGATCGGTTGTGCTGATGAGATGCAAGGGGCATTTGTCACGACTGCTGGGATAACGCCGCTGTTACTGCTACTGTCTGTTGTGATTACATTCGTGGTTGACTGTACGTCGGATGTGGTACTAGAGGACCAAGTAGCTGGATTTCCAGATGGTCCCATCAATGGAGAATTGTTACTCGAAAGAACACTATCGGCAGAGCTAGAAGTCCTCCTTCGCATTGATTCTTCGCTCGACGACTTCAGGAGTTCCTTCTCACGTTCTTCGTCCCTGGACAAAAGATAGAAGTATTCTTATAAAATGAAATTACATGAAGGGTAGCAAAGCATAACTGCATGACAAGCACTCCTGGATCTATTAAGAAGTTTCTCGCGTCTGGAAGAATTAAGCAACGAATTATAATGAATACCAACGTAGTAGATCTATCAGCCTAAATCCTAAAGTAGTTAAGTGTTAGAAAAATTCCTCCGCAATATTGATTGATATAAAAGTTATTAATAATTACAGATTTCTTTGAAGCATCAATTTCTTAATGCATTGCTTTGTTATGGAGATCACCAATGACTAACACTTGACTTGCTAGTGGTGCCGTGATGAATTAAATGAATATTAATATTTGTAAATTTTTGTTGTTAATGTATTATTATGTTAAGTATCAAATGTATCATAGAGTATTTAAGTAATTTCACTTATTTTAGTAGGTTATATTTCATATATGATTATTGGGTTCTATTATGTAAAAACAAATTAGATTACTTCAATGTTATGTATAATTTATGCAAAAGTTAAACCAGCATTGAATGTGTTAAGAAAGTTTTAATTTCTTTGTTATTGTATCAATATTATTATAATCGGATAAATATTCTGCTGTTAATGCAATATTCTACTGCATTATAAATTAGTCGTGCAAAATATTTGTAAATATTCGTAAATATTTAAAGAAATTAGTAAGCATTCATGACCAGTGCTGAATTTACACTTTTGGAGGCCTCAAAAGAGCAAGTCTATTTTAGTTAACAAAATTCATTTATATTCTTTTAAAGTTTATTAAAACTAATAGTCGACTTTTCCATTCAATATTTAAAATTAAGTATTTTATTTTGCAATTATAACTAGAGTTTTAATTATTATTATTATTATTACTAATAAATGTTATTAGTAAGAAATAGAGTTTTAAAACGTGACCTCATAGAAAGTGATGTTTTCTGCCATATACCTACTGTGCCTTATGGTAAATGCGATTCTGTTCCTAACCGACATATCTTAAGCATTTTTACTAAAAACATATTAACAAATGGCACGTTCATAGGCATTTATAATTCCTTCTCTATACAAGGCCTTCAAGAACAATACGCCATTTGGAGTACTGATACTATTTAAAAATATTCACAAACGCTGAGGAAGCTTTATAAGCATTTGGGTTGTGTGCCGTCCGTGATTTTCTCTACTGTCCAAGATGCTCGCAAACTTTTGTAAATCATTTCCATGGTTCATCTATTTCTATGGTAAATCATTTATACATTTCTTCATGATTCATAATTTTTTAAAGTAATTAATTTTGACGTGAAAATAAATGGTATTTCAAAATAATAAAACTATTAACTGCGGAGAAACTTTCTTAGCGCATTGTAATTAATTACAATTTCGTGCTTTTGTGTACTCCATATTTAATTCTTTCCACAAGAAGTAAGGTTTCATTTTGGAGAAATCGTATTTTTGAAAATGCCATAGTAATAGATTTAACATAAAATGACAAATTAAATTACCATCTACATGGAAAGGATTAAAAATGAAAAAAAGTTTCATTCATTAAGAGTAAACTAAACTAAAGTAGCAACTTTAATAGAGAAACCTAAAGAAGCTTTTTCTTTTATTTTAAGAAGCAAGCACATTTGAATTCATCCAAATTGTATTCCCTTTGGAATTGCTAAATTCAGCCACTAGGTTCAATAGAAGGCATTCTCGAAGGAAATAATTCACCACTGCGTGATTAAGTCGCACTTACTTTATCTTGATCATAATATATTTATCGGGAATAAGCCCCTCTCTACCGGCCAAGGCACCTCGCCACCAGTCATTACTGACTTGTGTGTATAGAGTCAAGGTATCTCCCTTTTTGAAGCTTAACTCTCTTTCGGACCTTGCATTGAAATCGAATTGCGCTGTGGCTTCGAGGTTTTCCGATTCTGGGAATACACAAAACGAACGTAGATCGCGCTCTGTTGAATTCGGAACTAAAATTATATATCTGGTCTCACTCACCGTCCTCGGATGGATACACTTCGGAGTCCATGTCTTCTTGGACCTGGTCTGTCGGTGAGTCTCCCACGTCCCTGAATTAAAAATATATTTTTCTATAAAGTTATACATTGATAATTTATGTAAAATTGTAAATTAAATTGTAAAGAAGAAAAATAAATTGGTCTTAACAGTATAAGAAAATATGATATACTTACACGTCATCAGGTTCTCTACTGATGTACTTTTCATATTGAGTACCTCCAATGTCTTCTGGGAATATTTCTTCACAAAATGTAATAATGTTTTTGATGAGTTCATTTACTTGGTTCTGGTATTGTACTTGATCCTTGTCTTCTGGAACAGGTACCAAGGTAGGGCCAAAGCAGATTGCTAGGTTGTATGGGTCCATCATGTTTTCATCCGAAAATTCTGAGAGGCTGTTAATAAAGGAGAAAATGGACTTATTTTAAAACTACAATTATCTCTAAAGTAGCAAATTAAATTATAATGTTTAAAATTTATTTTAAATACATTTTAAATATTACTGGTGTATAGTATATTTTAAATAATACTGGTATATAGTATATACCAATATCAATTATACACAAAATAATTAATCTTATAAGAAAAGAATAATATTATTAAACCATGTAATATGTATACTGAAATATTGTTGCTTTTAAATTTAATAGATATTTAATCGATTAATATATGTAACAAGATATCATGCATTGATTTAATAGGATTTTGTAATAGGTTGCATTTTCTGTTCCATGGAATACTCATTTTATAACTTTTTACATACAGGATGATTCACTTGAATTGAACATCGAAGTTATTTCCTTTAATTTGAGAGTTAGAAAAAAACGACAAAGTGGCATTTAAATGGTTCTAAAGTGCGCATTTGACGGTAATAAAAAGAGTCTTATCAAGTTCCTTAAAAGTACCAAACAATATTCTTGCGAAAGATTCAGAAGGATTTATATGACAGTGATAAAAAATTGTTCTAAAATCATTTTAAATATTATGTTTGTGGTATCGTAATTTTGTTATATAATTAATATCTATTTTTATAATATGACATAGTAATCGTGTTCAAAATGAATTGAATAATTTATAACGCCATGATTTTAAAATTTCATAGAATGTTGTTAAAAAGGAAAACTTATACACACTTAATACAAAAATTATATATAATCATAATATATATAACAATTCTTTTAAAAAGATTTCTTAGTAGTTATTTCTTTGAATTTTCTACATAGATCTTTGCTCATAATCATGTAAATTTTATAAATATATTTATTTCTATATAAAAAATAAGGATTCAAATAACTTTATCTTTTTATTCCAATTTAAAACATCTAATTTGAAACTCAAAATTGATGTTATACTTACTGATTAAGAAAAGCGAACAGGTATCGCATTACTATGACAACTGGTCTTGGAAGACTGGAAATTAGTTCCTTCATCTTGTTAACAAACTCCTGTTTCGATTCTAATTGCGCTAGTTCCATCAGATGTTCAAAGTAAATAATGGGAAACAGTGGTTCTCTCAGTTCTCTCAAATAGAGTTTCAATACACCAGCGACACTATTAATGTCTGACGCATCTGTGACATCAGCCAATGGATCTTCTCCTCTTTCAAACCACTCCCGGAAGTTGTTAATTTCCACCTGAGAACCAGAGACTCGAAAGATACCTTGATGATGAAGACCATATAGATTGATCACTCTAATGCAACTTTTCATAATCAGAGGTATCTCTTGATTCGTGCTTTCCAAATATTCCTCCAACGAACCACCGAATAATTTTGGTTGACCATTCATCTGTAGTCTACCGATTCGTTTTCTCCGAGCTTGCTTCTGTTTCGTTGTTGATATCGATGGATTTGGGCTAGCAGTAGAGCCATCTAAAAGGCTCTGTCGAATGTATTCTTGCTTTGCATCTAACCTAGCTATTCTTGAGGTTCCAAGAAGGTATTCCCTGAATTTCTGCAAAATAAAACAAATATCAATGAAAGATTTCATTATTATGATATATATTTTTTGTTAAAGTAAGCGTGTTTGTAACATATAAGACCTATTTTAACAATTGATGGAAGACACGGGGAAGATGAAGGGAGTTTCCTTTGTAAGTTTTCTTTAACAAAATTGTATATTTTCTATTTATCTGTGATTTAGGGTTGTAATACTTTTTATATTAGCAGCAGTTTATTAAAAATGATTGGAAATAATAATCTTGAATCTGGATACAAATTTGCAATGACACTGTTATAAGATTTCTTACAACTTTTAAACTATCAACATATTTTTGTGTATGTTTATACATAAATTATTTATAGTGTAGTAAATATATTAAATTATATAATAAGATATAAATTCATGTAGTATATTTGGAGTTGATGTATTTATGTTCTCCTCCATTTATTCACGTGGATCCCACACATTATGTAACACTATATCTTAAGTTACTTGGAATATAATGTCAAATGTTCCTGATAAGCATTCGTTTTATCCTTCTCAAGATTATTTAATTTCCTAATTATCTATGTAGCATGCATAGTTTCCTAGAGATATTTTTTATCTAAGTGATAACTAACTAACAAAAACTTTTATGTTCTTAAAAAAAAAAATATTGGACTATTTACTGAATTTCATTAATTTTTCAGGTTGAAACTCTACACATAGAAAAAATTATTAGACAGAGTTTAGAGATTAATAAATGAAATAATAAATAAAGCAGCACTTAGAAAGTATTAATTTTACTTATTATTGACAGAATAAAATTTTATTGTAAGATTACAAATTAAAGGATCAACAATCTTTTTTTTATTATTACAGATTTATATTATGAATTGTTAGCATTGAAGTTAATTTATAAAAATTATTATACAATAAAAGAAAATATAAGTGTCAAGAATAATAAAAAATTTTATGAAATAAAAATTTGATAGTACATATTAGTAAACATTATAACTATTTGAGAATTCAATTATTCAAATAATATTCCAGCATATTTGAATAATACCAGACTATGTAAATTACAATGGATATGTAATATTTCATATTTTGTTGTATAAAGCTTATTTATTAGATTATGAAAATGCTATATCATTTCTTCAATATTTGGACAGATACCAATATAAATCGATATCATATTGAGTTTTTACTTATTTCTATAAGTAAGAACATGCCTAACAAATCAATAATAGAAATAGTTAACAAAATAATTAAATATTTAAGTACTTTTTAGAATAATTCTACACAGTATGAGATGTTATCTCTTCATTCTATTCCTAACTTTAATATATGTTGCAAATTATTACTTTGTTTCTTAACTTTGGACAGTAAGTGTATATGATTTTGATAATTGTTACATTTTGTTTGATATTTATTGTCATTTATGGTACATAGAAAACATCTTTTTCTCTTTCATCTATTTGTTTTATTATTTTACATTCTACAAATTCTATTGCATTTACAGTTTATCTAGAGAAAAAGGCATTATTATTTTTAAATTCTCTTGCTCTTTTATCAATATTTTCTGATACTATTTTATACACTAAAATAATCAAAGTTTAAATTTAACTATACGTATATAGAACTATATATCTAAGACTTATACAAAGTACATTTATATGAACAATACATTTCTTGCTTTTTTCGATAAATACGATAAATTTAAATAATTTCGAAATTTTTTATTTTTGAACAGTCTCTCTATGTATATACATATCCAGTGTAAACTTTGTTTTTGTTTAAATTTAGGTATTATTCTTATGGATAATAGATTACTTACAGTTTAATTAATACTTTTAACTAATCGAGCTTACCGTGAGGTAGAATTCTTCAGTTTCCTGTCTGTCGGCTCTGAGCTTAATCTGCACGGTTTCTGGTGGTCTAGAAGTGGGAACAGCGTTCTCTCCAAAATATCTAGAACAATCATAGTCTTTTGCCGTTAACATTTCCAATAGGCTAGCTTCTGCCGTTTCCAAGGTTTTCCAGACTTCTTCAGATTCTGTTCTCAGGGATGTTAATCTTTGCTGCAGTTGAGTCAATCGTTGTTCCATCTCGGCGTGCAATAATTTTTGTAATTCTGGTTCAGGCGTCTATGAAAATAAGTACATTTTATTATTTTAAATCGTAGATTGTATTAACATTTTGAGTGTTATGAACACATATATGCGTTCGGCAAAATCGTTCACCATGGACTATGACTACATATATGGATATTCACATAACCATTCGATTTAGGCTATGGACGCATATATGTGCTCTAACACAAGTATTCAATTTGGGTTATGAACGCATATATGTGCTCTAACAAAAACATTTAATTTGGACTATGAACGCATATAATATATACGTTCTCACACAACCATACATTCTGGGCTATAAACACATATATGCGATTAATGCTTAACATACACTTAACGTCGCATAACTCAGCGTTCAAAGGATTAATTATTTCACATTTTTACTATTTCTATTTTTTCTATAACATTTTATAATTGGAAAGTTACATATACATTTTTACATATCTACATATTTTTATTTAATTTAATAATATTGTAATTAATTAAGATATTTATTTTTGTTTCTACAATTAAAAAATTATAATTATAACTAAGTAATCCAAAGTTAATATTGTTGAGATTGTGAAGAATAAAAATTTACTTTCCTATAAGATAATTTGTAAAATTTAAAGACTTTTAAATTTGTAAAAATATATCAAAAAGAATGAAGGTTACTCTCCAAATTTGACAGAGAAATAAATGATACAGAGGACATAATTGTAATTGTATGTATTAGGCTGTATACTCTATATTAGGGTTGATGAAATTTTTTACAAAAATGAAATGGAATTTTTGTATTAACTCTGAATGTAATTTAATAAGAAATAGGATTTTTTTTTTAAATTGATAGACAAATAGATAATTGAATGTACAAAATGAATATCTAGTGGAATCTGGAATTAGTAGATAGTCTTTACTGGAATACAAATCTAAGTTCTGCAGAAAATAGTGAAGATTATTTTGTCTGATATATTAAGATCAAAAGGAGAACAAGTGTATTTCTAATTTTGAAATAATTTAGTTTTGTTAATTTTTGATAAATTTAATAAAGTTTAAAAATTTGTTATCTCTTTTCTTCTGATGGTGTAGCCATTTCTAGATGCATTATGAAATAATGCTGATGAGGGTATTCAAACAACAGGAGTACATTTCTCTTTCTAACCAAACCTATGATTTAATATTACAAATATTGATAAGTATAATGTAAACATCTCTATATTGATATTTGCAAATAAATTCACCAATTGAGTTTGACTTTTCACAAATCTAAACTGACACTTACTGCAAAACATTTCTCGTAGTCACAAAACTTGCAAATCTTCTTATAAATCAAGAAAAACCCTTTCTTATTTTCATTCAAGCCCTAACTAATGATAGCTTAAAGAAAATACATTATTTCAAAAAATGATTCAAGTTAAAAAATGTTCTGGTTCATATAACTATCAAAGCAGTGTATTCCATACTATCCATTTTAATTCCAAACGGTGATCTTTATTTTGTTGATACCACTTGATGAAGATATATTAATCTGGAATTATTATTCAATGGTACATCAAGTACATATATTTTTATACCAATGAATGAAATGTTTAAAACATGATTTAGTAGCAGATAAAAATAGGAAAAATTGTCATACTTCGAGTACTTCGTCCCCTCGTTGTCCTTGGAATTCGAACTTCTTAGGTATCATAAAGGCAGCATGATGAGATTCCAAAAACCTCTGTTTGTCCGCCCTTGAGTCTAGAGCACCAACACAGGCTGCCAACTGTTCAGCACCGGATTGCAGTGAACGCTGTCTACCTTCTTCTGCGCTACAATGCATCAGCAACGCTCTGGCGATGCAGTTGTGAAAGCCGAAATCCATACACTGAAAAGGTACCATTAAAAGGGAATTAGTATCTTCATAGTGTTCATATTTGAATCGTACAATACAGCTATGAGCAATCTTAGTAAGATCACTTGCTAAACTTGAGAACTTAGCCCCTTGGTTTTCTAGAGAAGACTCTCAGACGTGAGTCAGAAAAATTCTACAGACTGATAATCAATATTAAATTTAAGATAATGTGAGAATACATGGGATTCTAGAGTAAAACGGTTTTGTACATACAATCCTATGTTTTTCTGGGCGGTTTAACCCTTTCAGGAGGTAAGCGTATCGACAGCCTTAACAATATTTTAGGTACGGTACGCCACTATAGTAGCTTCCGTGGAAAGCATCAATTTGAACGGTACGCCATTGTAGTGGTTTCCGTGGAATCATAATTTTGAAAGGTATTATACCTTTTTGCTTTATTTCTCATTTATTTCGCCTAAATCACATTTCCCGTCGTACTGCAAAACCATTAAAACCAAAAAAACGTTACGAATTTCTGTAGCCTGTAAAAAAAAATGATATAAGGTGAAGATCGTGGTACCAATGTGAAGACGCGCCGGCCCTGGGAGGCAGAGTGGCGGACGTGCGCGCCGTACCTAAAAGATTAAGGCTTTTCACTTAACTTCACTAGCGCCACCACGGTACGTATCTCCAGTAAATGTATCGTAAACATCGTATACATCGTTGCATTATTTTCTAATTTTACTGATACAATCTTGGACTTTTCTTCTTACTGCAATGGTTCATAAATGAAATTTAGTACCACGAAAATTTAATAATTAAAAAAAGAATTCGGAAATTAAGAAGAAAATAGTTATCAGTTTATAGATTCACTAGGACTATTTTTCAAGGAATTTCGAGTATTTAAGTGGTCACGTGTAGCAATACAAATTTAGAAACGAAAGTTTGTTTGATCTCGTAATGGCTTTAGAACTGTTAGGCTCTTCAGAAGAAGGATCTATCTGCTATAATTGTGTTTCGAGATATTCAAATTGAAACTTCTTTTTGGTTGTGAAATCACGATATTGACAAGAAGGCTGTACAGTTGATATGGTACACATTTCATCTTTAACAGAAAACAAGATTATAATACGGAATAGGCTATAAAATTACGATACTCGATTTGTAATAGGAAATGATACATTAATTATGTTATATTATTTGTGAATTATTGTTTTCTTAATTAATAGGGTTTATCATAGTATTTATGCACGATTCTCATTTCAGGCGTGAATGTGCTATTTTTAAAATATTAATTATGCTTTAATAATAACAGGCAGAAAAAACGTGGAGAAAAGAGAGGAAATGTTCAATGGATCTAGCGAATTTCTTCGGAATTTTATTTTTCTATATTATTCTATAATTTCTAATTCTGTTTAGTTACGTCATTTTGTACTAAAAGCTGAATCATTTATTTTTATTTGGAATGTACTAAATTCAGCTGAATTTCTTTTTCCTATTTTATATGGAATCCTTGATTTCAAACTTAAATATTAACAAAGCTATATGGAAAGATTTAGGTTCCTGTTCAACAAAATTTATTTATATAAATATTAAATGTTAAAAAAAAAAGGAAAAAGAGAAATGTTATAATAATTTAATAATCATAATTTGAACTGAAAATAATATAATATAATAAAATAATATATATAGAATAACTTTAATATTTATAATGTAATAACATTACTATTTAAAACATTTGATCAGGCTATAAGGATAAACTATTTTTTTAAGTTAATAAATGGAAAAGTTTTTGAAGCTATCATGATGTGTTCATCTGAAACCTATGTTATTTATTATATGACATGAAAAATAGGAGACTTTTGGTATATTTCTAATATGATACGCAAAAAAAACCCAAAAAGAAATCTTAAGCATGATATAATAATGTCCCAGTAACAGTAGTACTATAAGGAAGGATGTGATTCTACATGAAAAAAACGAATCGAAAACGAAGAATAAAATTTTTTCATTCAAAGCTTCGTTGCCGAGAAAATCGACTTTGAATATTCACCAAATACGGATGCACCTAACTATGGCTTAGGTGGATAAACCATCAATACAGCAGCATCGGTGGTACAGTCGAGGAGGGGGTGATATACTACATGAAAAAAGGAATCGAAAATAAAGAATGAAATTTTTTCATTCGATGCTTCGTACGCTGGTATAATGGTGATGGTCCGCCATCTTAACACTTTACCGACCGCTAGCGTTGCAACGGCATACGTGCTTCCGACCGGCCGCTCAGCCGCAAATTCTCCCTGGCGCCCTCCATATAAAAATGGAGAGCTTACAAAACAAACGCAACTGATACAACTGAGCAACGTACCTCAATACTAAATAACAAATTAATTAATGATTCATATAATGATAATGACTGTTCATCGCCATGACAACCGATTAATAGGCTATATAGGTCGGTAAGTGTCGGTAACAAAAAGCCGATTAATAGGCAATCGGTCGGTAGGTGTCGGCGACAAAAAGCCGATTAATAGGCTACCGGTCGGTAAAGTGTAAGCCATAACTAAGTGCACACGAATTCGGTGAATATTTAAAGTCGATTTTCTCGACAACGAAGCTTCGAATGAAAAAATTTTATTCTTTATTTTCGATTCGTCTTTTCATGTAGAATCACCTCCTTCTCGGTTGTACTACCTGTATAATATATAATGTATACTGTCGGTCACAGAAGAATCTTAAATAAACAACGCAGGATTATAGACATTAACTAATTTTGCTTTATTCAATATACCAATTTTACTATAAGCGAAGAAATTTATAGCAGAAATCAAATTTATGAAAATATTAAAATACCGAATAAAGTAAAATTGGTTAAAATTTATAATTTTACGCAGCTTTCTCAATACTTTTCTTTATGTGTCGATACATAATTTTTAATAATTTTTATAAATTTGGCAGCTGGTTGAATTTTTCTCACATTTTTGGGAAAAATTATTTTCAGTTTTTCACTTTTCTCCGAGCGTAAAAGGCATTTGAGAAAATTTAATTTAGAGATGTGAAATTACAGTTTTCAATCTTCAATATGGCTCCATAAAAGTTATTACTCGACTATTTTTAACGAAGTTATCAGTTCAGAAATTGTATGCGTTTCGGTCAAGTGTCCTAATACTGACCGTTACTATATACTGGGTGACCGGAAAAGTAATGTCAGTATTTTTAATATACATAATAGAGTAGACATTTTTTAAAATAAAAAAGGTATTATTAAATTATGTACTGATTGCTCTTCCATTTTGTAGGCAGCTATAGAATTCAAATTAGTATATGATAAATTTTTCTTAAACTGGGAACACAGTTTTATGCTGAAGATCAAAGCACCATGTGCTGCGAAAATCCAACATCACATATAATATCGAAAGAAAGAAGAAAAATGATCCAAGAAAAAGTTAAAACCCAAATTAATTTATCAATAAATATCCAAAGCCAAGTGACACCAATGATGCTAATAAACAGACCAAATCTATACATGATTGACCTTGTTTGACCTTGAAGGTGATTTTAGACCACCACATTCCAATGATGCTAATAAACAGACCAAATCTATACATGATTGACCTTGTTTGACCTTGAAGGTGATGTTTAGACCACTACACGTTTAAACTAGTTTTGACACACGTTTTCACACGATGCAAAAAATATATGGTATTTCATTTAAAAAATTAAAGATCACCTTCATTTCTCGAAAAATAATGTAAATATGCAAAATTAGTATACACTGACCTGTTGACCATAAGAAACCATAAAATTCTGTCCTTTTTCATTTTTATCTAATTCGATAGTTCTCGAAAAATTAAGTTACTGGAGTACTGACTCATTTTTTTCAAATATTCAATGGATACATTAAACTTGTACATGAAACATTAGTATGCAATGGTATAATATGTCATCAAATATGAACTTGTTTCTAAACAACGCGTCTTCATTGTTGACCAATATCTACAATTTTTAATTCAAAACCGGCGTTTTCTATTAAAATTACTTCTTGCATGAATTTTGAGACACCCAATACTTCTATATATAGGGTGTCCGCGTTAAGTTATGTCACAATTTTGAAGGCATTTCCGGTAGTGCAATTAAAAAATGTTTCGGATAGAATTTTTTTAGTGTTTGATGGGCTGCATGATCACTAGATCTGAAAAAATGCTTTTTACGTAAAAAATTCAAGGTGACCTTGACTTTTTTCAATGACATTATATGTTTGTGATGTCACAGGGTTGTTGGTGACGTCGAGACGAATTCAACAGTGCATTATGCTACTGTGACCTTGAAATGATCTTAAACTCTACTATTTCAAGTGGTGTCCGTGAGTCATGGGACACTCGGTGTTTTGAAAATAAACGGAGGGAATGAACGTCATTTAAAAGTCATGGTGTGAAATGCCATTGAATTCACCATAACTCCACCAACAATCCTATGACATCACAGACATATAATGTCTTTGAAAAAAGTCAAGGTCGCCTTGAATTTTTTACGCAAAAAGCATTTTTTGGACTCTAATATAGGATCATGTAGTGCATCAAATCATAAAAAAAAAAAATCTATTTGAAACATTTTTTAACTGCACTATCGGAAATGCCTTAAAAATTATGACATAACGCAGACACCCTGTATAATACCAAATACTGTGCAAAGTTCAGCAGTTTGCACAGGAAAAATGGGGGTCTGATTGGTCATAGTAGTATAGCTTCACCTTCATGCCTTCTAACACAGTTCCTAACACAATCTGTGACGCAGTTCCTAACACAGGCTCTAACACAGTCTCTAACGCAGTCCCTAACACAGTTTCTAACAGTCTCTAACACAGTTCCTAACATAGCCCCTAACACAGTTTCTAACAATCTCTAATACAGTCCCTAACAGTTCCCAACACAGTCCCTAACACAGTCCCTAACACAGTTCCTAACACAGTTCCTAAAACAGTCCCTGATATAGTCTCTAACACAGAGTAAAAATAGATCAAACGAATTTTCGCT